AAATGGGTACCATGCTCACCTTCCAGGATGAGTTGCCCTTGTGGGTAAATACCTGGTCTGTTGTAATTGGAAACAACTGTTGGGACAGTGCATGCAGGGGACTTTTCTGGGTGAAGAAGGCCAGGTGGAGAACTGAACAAAGAGTTCTGCACTATCAACACAGACAAAAGCCGTTCCTACACATCTCACACAGACCACTACCACAAAGAGCACAGGCCAGGTGTTGCCAGGCAGCGAGAGTTCAACTCCTTCAGCAGAGTGGGCTGTAAACCATTTTGCAGAAGTGAAGGGTTCTTCCCAGGTGCAGTGAGTGAAAACAGGGAAGTAGATGAGGAGGCAGGGCCTTGTACACAGCTACTGCGCCCAACATCAGTGATCTTTATGAAGCTATCAAGTCATCTTTCACATGGCATCACAGTTAATCCTCCAGCAAATTTATGAGCTGGCTGCTGTTATTATTCCCATTTTACAGATGAGGAGACTGAAGCCCAGTGTCCTCATTTCATTTCCACAGACACTCTCCCAGGCAAACTGATCTAGATAATCACTGTCTGTGACTCTCTTCCCAGGTGATTTTAGATTATATCCAGCTGTCAAACTATTAAGCAGAGAGGGTCAATTACTTGCCCAAGAACACACAGCAAATAACAAAGGAGTTCAAATCTGGGCATCTGGAGTTAACTATTTTCTTGAGTTGGTCTCTTCTTTATTTGGATATTTTAATTAATGTAGGGGCTGCAGACGGCCCAATCAAGAAGAACATATGGCAGTAGCCAGTAGGAAAAAAGACCGGAAGCTCTTACCCACCCGGATTTCACTGAACAAAGGGAGCATATTCAGGTATGTTCCTAAAGGAGAACTAAAGTCCTCCACTAGCGTTTCCTCTAAGGAACAGAACACCTGAGAGAAAAGAGAAAAGCCCTTGCTGTGCAAACGGAGGAGGGGTACTATACAAATGTAGAGGTCATGAGCCTCACGGCTGGCTGGCTCTTTTGGAGGTCACTGACCTACGCCTAGTCTTGGTAGTGTTTTTCCCTGTCTTCAACGATCTCTTTCCACGACAGTCTGGACATTTTTCCTCTTTCTAAACTACTCACACACTTCTCACACCTCTCGCCTCCTCTGGGTGCTTCATGACTCAGCGTGATTGCAGACCTCCATTGGTGAACGTGCAGGCTTTCCTGGGCCCTAGCTCAAGAAAGCTTGACCATTTAGTCCATCTCCCTCCACTCAGCAGTAGCTGACATTTAGTTTGTCTGCCTACCTGGTTTTTTCTTTTTTCTTTTGGTTATTTTTTTTTCTCAAATTTCAATAAGGTTGTCCTCCATTTTCAAATTCTTTTATTAAGAAGTCTACAAACCAAGGCACCAAGACAAGAACCCCCATATTTCACCAACAACATTAAAGTTAGCTGGTGGCACACGCCTTTAATCCCAGCACTCAGGAGGCAGAGGCAGGTGGATCTCTGTGAGTTCAAGGCCAGCCTGGTCTACATAATGAGTTCCAGGGGCTACAGGGAGACCCTGTCTCAAAACGACAGGGGTAGGGGGGTGGTAGCTGTCTTCCTGACCTGAGTCCCTGGTTCTCAAAGTGCCCTTGTTCATACAGTCAGGCAGCCCCACATCACTCCCACAGGAGATAGATGCGCCTTATTCCTGTAACACCAAGAATTAAAACGAGTTCTGCCTGTAATCACATCGGCCCTGCTCACCAGCATATTTTCAATATTAGCCATCACCTGCGCATCATACCAGGAGCCCTGCAGAGTGACTAGGGATTTCCCCTACTGCGCTTCTGTTTCCTCAGAATCCCTCTTACCTACTCACATACTGATTCCCCTCTGACCTCCCTAAACCTCATCACACATGTATTCACCACAACATTCCCACTCCTTTGAAATCTCCCAGTTTCCTTAAAATTAGCTCAACTTCCCTTCAAATCGATTCTTCCATCACATTCCGGTCCTCCATGATGACCAGTGGCCTTTGGACTCTCTAATTCCTCTCCTGACAGCTGTAATCTCCTCCAAGCACCTCACCTACTCGTCCACCAGGATCACTATGACAATAACAATCTTAGAATTTCCAGGTCACAGCGGAAACCCGCCTGTTACCATAGAAACCAGACGCCACCAATCAGGAGACAGGACTCGAGCCCAGTTGCTCTCAAGGGTCTGAGAGTCAAGGGCCCCCATATTGCTCAGCAAGTAAAGAATCATTCTCGCTCTCCAGTACTCTCCTCCACTAATCGCTCCACAACTCGTGCATCTTGAGTCCCGAGCAGCCAGCTGGATGTTAGAGCCCTGGCACTCGGGTATAGCAACCGGTCTTGGGCACTGCGCAGGCGCTCTCTCTTAGCACAAAGAACATGGGCAAGGAAGACTTGATCTGCGCTTTGCCTGATGGTAGTTGTAGTTTCCCGCGTGTGCCAGCAGGTGGCCAATGGAAGAGCTGGACTGGAACAGGAACAAGGTTTCTGAAGCTGAGAATCTTATAAGCGCTATTGTCGCCACAGGAATGACGTAGAGCCAGCCCTCTTAGGCAGCCGGCCATTTTCATTTTCCTCTTTAATTCAAAGAGTACTTTGCACCAGAAATTAGGGATTCAATGTTAAATTAGTTTTTGTTGTAGTTGGGGTGGTAAGGGTTGATCTTCAGCTGTTGATAATGGCAAACACAGGTCAATGGAGAAAACAGTATGTTAATGGAACGCTTTTAGGAAAGAAATACAAGTAAGAGCCTTGGTACTCAACATTTTTAACCCCACACAACCCTCTAAGGTAGATATTATTACTATTCCTGAAATGTTACAGAAAGGGGCGGGTGAGCTGGCTCAGCCTGTTGAGGGCACTTGCAACAATGCTGAGGACCTGAGTGTGATCCTGGGACCCAAATGAATCCAATGACTCCTGCAAGTTGTCCTCTGACCTTCACATGTGTGCAGTGACACATACCCACATATACACACATATAAGTAAAATAAATAAATAAATAAATGTAAAAAATAACTTAATGAGGTTAGCCAAATGAAGGCCACGTAGGTGGAGCTGTGGATGTAAGGCCAGGCCATCTGTCTTTATGCTTGCAAAGCTTAACCGGTGTTAAACAGGTGAATAAGCAGGTGGTAGACTTCCAGAGGGTGTTGTGTGCCATGAAGAACAAAGAGGGTGAGGCAACTCTGGAGAAAGTGCTCAGGAATGGGCTTCGGGAGATGAGATTGAGCACTGGCCTGAAAGGACTGATTTTATTCATGAGCTGGGCACCTGAGTACAGTCTAGGGTCATTAATCTCGAGTTTTCTTCATGCCTTCCCAAAAGGCAAAATTCTGTTATACATGGTGTTCCCTATGCCAAGAATACACTTCATTCTCTTTCCTGGCAAGCATGTCTTTTAAGATGAAGTACTGAGAACGATCTGCACTTACCAGCTTTATTGACTAAATCTCTTCAATGCCCTAGTTCTTTTACTTTTTTTATTAATGTGTGTGTGCACATCAGTGCAGGTGCCCATGAAGGTCAGAAGAGGTCGTTAGATCCACTGGAGCTAGAGTTAAGGGCAGTTATGTGCCATGTGATGTGGGTACTGGGAACTGAACTCAGGCCCTCCAGGAGGCAGCAAGTGCTCTCAATTTGTAAGTCATAGCTCCACCCCCAGCCCCCACTCTGTTTCTAGCAACCTCCTATATAAATGTTCTGTGGGTCATGGGAATAAAGGGTGTAGTTAATCCTCTTGGGTGATCCAAGACAGATAAGCAATAAATGTCTATTGCTGTATACTGATTATGTATTTTGGGTTGTCACAGCATGATTGTAGACAACTAATGGTATTCAGTAAGTCCAGTCAACCTAGAGATTTATGGATACAAGCACAAAGGTCTCTTGGGATCAAGATATGAGTATGTAATACTGGGGCTTCAAGCAGGTTCTTTTCCAGCCAACAGGTCTTTAGGGGCGGGGAATCCATCATACAAAGAACAGGACAAAAGAGGAAAAACTTGTCACTGAACCCTACACACACTCAGCAGTGGTTAAATCCCTTGACGTTTTGTGATTTGAACCACTGAGCTGTCGTTTACCTTAAAATTATTTTGCTATTGTAAGTGTGCCTCAGGGATCCATCAACAATGAGAACAAAACAAAACAATCTACAAATTCAGGCCCCACTCAGACCTGGTGACTCCAACTCTGTACCTCAGCAAGGTGCCTCTTTCAGGTCCACCATGGAAGTCTGAGCACCTCAACCTGGATTTCATAACCTACTATCAACTGAGCTCCTTCTTATCAGTTGTGGTCATAGAAATCCAGCTCAAACTCCTCTTCATCACTAAGCTCTTTTACTTCAGAAGCACCATTGTAAAGCAAAGCCCAGGACTCAGATCGAAAAATACCAGCCAAGATCCTGATTGTTTTTTAAATGTCTTCTCTTTGTGTGTGGTGGGGTAGAAGAGGACAACCTTTGGGTGTTCTCTCCTTCCACCATCAGTTCTGGGGACTGAACTCCTGTTGTCAGGTTTGTGTGGCAATCCTTTCTACCTGGTAAGCCAGTTTTTGTCCACAGGTGTTCTTCATCTCTTGTCTCTGGTCCTCAGTGTGGGGATCATCCTCACACTGGTCTGAGGTTGAGGAGAGCAGGCCTAGGACTATCTCATTCTGGAACATCTTAAGAGTAAGTCAATCTTTACTAGAAGTCCCGCCTCCACCTGAGCAGACTCCATTGGCCAGGACCGAGTCAAAAGCTCAATCTCCAACCAATCACTGAGAAAGGACTGACGTGGTCAGCTTTCTGGAAACTGTCACTGCTATGAAGTGGTCCAGGAGAGGGAAGATGAGGGACCAGCTGCCCTAGAGATGAACTAATTGTGGACCCTCCATTCATCTAGCCTGAGAAGACCCCACTGACAGCACAAAGGGATGCTGGGCCATTTCAACTTTCTTCTGGATTGGTGTCTCCCACCCTCCCCCAGAAGCCATGAACTCAGCCTGGAAACCAAAATAATGCTGTTTTATTCAATCTTAAAACACAGTTATTCAAACAGTTCCCCTTCCCCTATGGAAGAGACTCCAGTTCATCCCACCAGACCTTCAGTGCCCTCTCCACTGCCCCACCCCAAAGAATAGTCAGCTGGAAGGGGAGGCCAATCCCCAGGTCCTCCTGTCCTCTTCCCATGTCCCATATCTCATCACTTCCTTTGGAAATTCCCTCTCCTCCCTGTCCTATGCCCTTCTGTGCTTCACTTCTGTCTGTCTCTGCTCTTGTTCTCCCTCTTCCATTGTCTACCCCTCCTATCTTTTCTCCCCTTCTTCTCCAGTCTTTTTTTCTCACTGGCTTCTCCTGCTCAACCCCTATACTCCCTACAGCTCCCATTCCTGTCAGTCTTATCCCCTGGCACCCTCCCCTGACCTCTGCTCTACCTCCCTCTGCCCCTTCCTCTTGTTCTGTCTTGGCTCACCCTGTCTACACCTTTTCTCATGCACGTCTTCTCCCAAGTGATGTCCTCTCAATGTGCCCTGGCCATCAGCACTTCCTGCAGGTGTGGATCCAGGATCTCAGAGATCATGGCCAGCATCCCCTAGGATGTAGAGAGGAAAAGTGCCAAGATGAGGTGCCTGGATGACCCAGGAGGTGACTAGAAGGACTGGGGTGGTCTCTCCAACCTCAGCCCTGTTATCTTTGGGATCAAATATGTTCCTGCATTCCACATGGAGGGTGGCAGGCAGGAGTGCACAAGGTCAGGGCTCCTGGGCTCTCCCCCAGCAATCCCTGAGCAAGTCCATGTGGAACAAAGCTGCCCCTGTAAGGAGACGTGCAGCAAAGAGGTGTCTGCAGGGCAGGCGTCTGGCAGCGTGGATCGAGCAGCTGCAATGTGTCAGGGCCCCATCCAGGAAGAAGTCTGAGGTGCCATCTTTAAGAGCAAAGCCAGCTCCAGTCCAGTGGAAACCGCGGGTACCGTGCTGCCTGGCAAAGGCCAGCTCCTCGGCCACCAGGTCTGCCAGCTCTGGCCCACAGGCTGCTCGGAATTTGGCCAATGGCTCCCAGTCCACTTCCTCCTCTCTGGAGGATTGGCAAAGTCTCTTTGGTTCCCTGGGGCCTTCCCTTCTACTTGCCGGCTGCGCCATTTCCCCTGTGATCAGGGACTCATTCCTCATCACTGCCCATTCTGGATTGCCTTCCAACACAGTCTGCACAGGGGTGGTACTGGGCACTCCATTCCCCAGCCCTGTCCCCAGCCCTGAAAGCCTCCCTCCTGGGTCTCCCAACTCCATCCGTTGTCCTGCCCCACTCTTGGGGCCCAGAGACCGAGTCCCCACACCATCTCCATTGGCTAAGCCTGTAACCCTTGCATCCTCCAAATGCACGACAACTATGTCTTCCAAGCCCCGGCTCCTTTTGCCCCTCAACCTGTCTCCTCTCTCCTCTGCAATCTCTAGCCCTCTCTGCCCCTCGCTTCCCCACTGGGGTCCCCTTTGTTCTCCATTCTCTGAGGCCACCTCTAAGGGCTTCTCCATTTGGATGCCCCTCCATGTTCTGACCTCCAGTCCCTTCTCCATGTTGAACTGAGACCCCGTGCAGTCTCCAGGTTGCAGTCTCCCTGCCCTTTCCTCTTGCAGCTGGACTTCCCTCCAGGAACCCCCTTCATGACTCCTGGCCCTCTCAGATTCAACTTGGGTTCCCTTCCAGTCTGTGGTCCCCAGGACTCTAACCTTTCCATCTTCCACCTGAGTTCCCCTCCAGTCTCTAACCTCGGGCCCTTTCAAGTGCTCTTTCTCCTGCTGGGCTCCTGTCCCTTCAGGCCCCCTCCCCATTTGATTCTCCAGCCGGACTCCTCCACAATCTGTTAACTGCACTCCCTTCCCCTTCTCGTTGTCTCGCTGAGGCCCTCCACAGTCCTTGGTCTCCAAGCCCCTCACCCTCTCTTTCTCCATCTGTGCTCCACTTCTGGGCTCACTCCCCAGCCACACTCGGTCACTACTGGCACCCTCCGACGCCGCCTCTCCAGTGGCATCAGCCCACTGCATGGCCACTAGGTCTCGAAGGCACTGAGCAACACTGTGTGAAGGGCTGAGGCGACGCAGCAGTCGCCGGCGATGGCCGTGTACCAGAGCGCAGGCATCCAGATCTCGGGATGCCTCATAGGCACGGAAACGTACCCACATGTCATGGCGGGGCGCCCAGTTGTGCTCGAAGTATCTGATGAAGGCAGACGGAGCCTGGGAACGCAACTCAGCCAGTGCTTCGCTGTAGGCTGTATAGGATTTTGCATCTGCCAGGCGGCACAGGAGTGGCCACAGGTCCTGGTCCTCTTGGCTGGCGCCGCCCAGTTCCTGTGCTTTGCTGAAGAGTGTCTCTAGACCCTGCGCACGACAGATCTGAACGCGCGCACATGGCAACAGCTGGCGTACAGCCCGCAGCTGCCCAGCCACCTCTGGTCCAGCAGTGAGGCAGCGTACCCTGCCTTTGACATCAGGAGCGCTTTGCAGCAGGGAGACCAGCACGAACCGCAGTAGGCTGGGCGTGCCGGGGCGAGATACACAACAGGCGGCCTGGCGCGCGCGTCCAGCGCTGTCCACGCACAGCACAGCCATCAGGTCCAGCGCGCCCTGAAGCCCCTGCAGCCGGTCCACCAGGAGGATGCGCGGGAAGCGCCGCAGCAGCGCCCTAGTACGTGACGTCAGGAAGAACACAGTCTCTACCATGGCTTGGTCCTCCACGAACACCAGCTTTACCTGCAGGAAGCCGGCGGGGAAGCAAGGAAAAAAGTCAGGAGACTTGGGGATTGCCCTGCTCAGTTCCCAAGGCACAAGCTTCCTCTGGTGAAAGAGAGTCCATTCATTCATGTGTCTGCAATCTTTTAACCTTGGCCAGCAGGAGGCAGTTCAGGGAAATGATCAGGGAATCTGGAACCCAGTTTGCCAGGGTTTGAGGTGAGGGCCCTGCACCAGGACCTGACAATACTGTGCTATTTGCATACAAGATACTGTTTGCCTCTCTGGGCTTGATTGCTCCTGCTGGAGGTCAGGTATTAGTTCCTTCAAGCACAGAGAGGCAGCCCAAATGTAGGCCTTAGACCATCACGACGACCACCAACAGTGGCTGAGAAACAAGCTTGGACTCCCTCCACACTCTGACAATCCCCACAGGAGATCCACAGTGGCTTTAGTGTGAACACTGCTGGTAAAGTACAGATTGTGGAGGCAGATGGATCTTGATTTGAACCTTCCTGCCCACCATCTCTTAACTGCTTGATTTTACCTCTTTGTGCCTCTGTTTCCTCTTTAACCATGCCTGCTGATTTCCCCTTCTAGCAATTTAATATTCATTCCTCCCAGCACCGAGATAGGGCAGCAGTTAACAAGCAAAGCTTCCCAGATCAGATTGCCTGGTCTAAGATCCCACAGCCCCCTTCTTTCTGGCTGAGTGGCTTCTGGCAGCTTGCCATCACCTCCATCTCATCTCTAAAGTGATGATGGCAAGCATCCTTCTGTGGTTAGATGAAATGCATTAATGAGTCTTGTACATTGACTGGCACAAGTAACATCACCATTACTAGGTCAAGATGTAGTGTGTACTCTCTAAGAATTCAAGTCCATTGTGACCGAACTACCTCTGCTCAAAGACCTCCTCCTCTTTTTGTTAAGACAGAGTGTCATGTAGCCCAGGCTAACCTTAAACTCTCTATGTATCTGAGGATGGCCCTGAACTTTTGATCCTAATGCTTCCACCTACCAAGTACTGGGATTCCAGGTCTGTGACACCACAACCAGTTTTTGTCATGTGGATGATGGAACCCAGGGCTTCACACATGCTAGGCAAGCACTTTACCAACATCTGTATCACCAGTCCCAGACCTCCTCTTTTGTAGGTACTGGAGCAGTGGCTGGGGCTCCCTATAACAGTTTTTGAACAAGCTGACTCACAGCTGTAAAAAATGAATTTGAATGTGATTTAATCATAGATCTCTCCATCAGCATTCTGCCATAATCCAATCTCATCTGCAAGACTCCAAAAACATATTAATAATATAAAGACTGGTTAGATAACCCAGTGCTTGCCCTGTAAGTATGAGGATCCGAGTTCAAATTTCTAGCACCCATATAAAATGTAGGGCATGGATGAGACTGTAACCCCAACATTGGGGGATAGAGACAGGCAGATCATGAGAACTTACTGGCTACCCAGCCTAGCTGAAAACAGCAAAATTCCAGTTTAGGGAGGAATCTTGTCTCAAGGCAATATGGCACAGTGATAGAGGAAGACACCAGTGGCCAGCTCAGGCTCATGAGCATGAACCACACCACACACACACACACACACACACACACACGCACACGCACACCTCTTAAATAACAGGTATGGATGAGTCCAAAGAAAGGAAGGGCATTGCTTTCCTAACCCTGAAATCATCTTCTAGCATCCCAAAGAGTACTGGCATTCAACATACTTTAAGAAAAGTCAAGCAAGTTTTGATTGAATCAGTTATAGTTCCACTACAATATTTTCAACCATCATTATTTTTACACTATTATTTGAATTTACATAAAAGATGTCCAATCCAGACCTGCTCTGTCCAATATGGTAGCCACATGGAACTGTTTAGATTTCAATTAGAAATTTAAAACGTGTATCAGTTCAGTCCCTCAGCCACATTAACCATATTTTAAAGGTTTAACAGCTGTGGGGAGCTGATTCTGGAGGACTTCCATCATCACAGAAAGTTCTACTGGACAGTGTTGATCCAGAAACGATCTTAAATTTAAAAACCATAATGGATTAAGAAGTATACATTTTTATAGAACTAAGGAAGTCCATATCTTTTTTTCTTTATGGGACTCAGGAATAATAGACATCAAAATATAAGAACCTCGAGACTTTCTCCAGACCTGGCAAGCAGTTTATGAATTAGAAGCCAACTTCTACTTTTAAAGGGAAAACCTGGATTCTTTTAAATTTATTTATTTATTTATTCATTTAATGTGCATGTTTTGCCTGTGTGTGTGCAACCGTGTCACGCAATGCTCACAGAGACCAGAAAAGGGCCTTGGATCCCCTGGAACTGGAGTTACAGATGGCTGTAAGCTGCCATGTGGATGCTCAGAGCTGAACCTGGGTCCTCTGCAGGAGCAGCCAGTGCTCTTAAATGCTGAGCTGTCTCTTCAGGCCCCAAAACTCAGATTCTTGGTCTTAAGTTTTCTTCCTAAAGGGCATATAAGCTTTTCTTGCATACCCATTGTGGATTAGACTTTGAGCACCTACTGAGTGCCTCATACTTCAGCAGGCCTTAAGGAGAGAAAAATATGAAGCCAGGACCAAGTCAAGCCAGGTGTCCATGACGAGGTGGACAATTAGCATGGCTCTTAGCTGGAAGGCACAAGAACCAGAGAGTTAAGTGTTCCTAGACATGGAGCCAGAAAGCAGCAGGAATCCAAACTCAGCTGCAAAAATTTAGATGTCAGCTGTGTGGCTTGGGTGTATGATTAAATTTATCTGAGCCTCAATTGGTACCATTTATAGAGGTGTGGAGCTTCACGGCATCTACCCTGTATGGTCCTATGGGGAATCAGTGGGTTAAACCATGTGAATAAAACACTGTGTAACAATTTCCTCCAAATGGACACATTCCATTCTGGAGGGAAACAGACTCAGGAAATTATAAAGGAAGGCTCCTTAAGACTCAGGAAGTAAGCAACTCACAAGTCTCAGGAAGGCCCTGAACTTACCAGATTCACAAGGCTGCTCCCTCCCCAGAGCTATGTAAGTGGTAAAGCCTGCTGAGGAGAGCAGGCTGACCTGCTGAGCTGCCTTCAAGTCATGCAGAAAGCTCCAGCTTTCCAGTTTCCACGATGGGGTGGGCTTTGGGTGATGCAGCTGCCTTTGGGTCATCTCTGCTCCTGCAAGTAACCCCTCAGCCATACTCCTGAAATAGTCCCAGTAAACTCATTGATTCACCAAGTTGGACTTTGGTAGTATTGTTAATTTGGCCTGTTGTTGGCTTCCTGTCTGGAGTGAGTAGATGTATGTTCATGCCTCCACAGGAATATCACAAAAGCACATGCAACAGCACCTAGCACACGTGGTCCCTGACTCTCAGTGACATTACCCCTGCTTAATTTGCAGATGAACAGACAATATCCAAAAAACTAAATTCCTTGCTTATAGCATGCTCACTGAACCACAGCCAGTGCATAGCCCATGTAAGTAAAGGTGTTAGAATATATCTGTTATGGATAGCTTTAGTTAACTTGACACACCTGGGAACAGGGAACCTCAATTTGCGAATTTTCTCTATCAGACTGGCCTGTAGGCATGTCTGTGAGGTATTTTCTTGATTGTGGAGTGATGCAAGAAGGGTCCAGTCCACCTTGGGTGGTGCCAATCATGGGCAGGCGATCCTGAGTTATCTAAGAAAGCAGGCTGAGCACAGGCCAAGGAAACAAGCCAGTAAGCAACATTCCTCCATGGTCTCTGCTTCAGTTCCTGCCTCCAGGTTCCTGCCTTGAGTTCTTGTCCTGGTGTCTCTCAATGATGGGCTGTGATTGGGATATTTAAGCCAAATAAACCCTTTCTTCCTCAAGTTAGTTTTAGTCAGAGTGTTTTATCACAGCAGTAGAAGGTTAACTAGGACAGTATCGGTATCAGTAAAAATCAAGTTACCAGCTTTGGATAAATTCCCACAAGGATGATAGATGTAATGGAAACACAGGCTATATGGCATAGAGAATACCAACACAGAGTGCCATAGAGACACAGTGAATCCTACCTGCAGGGGACTGTGTCCACAGGACAGGGAGATGACATGGCCCCTGTCCTTTGCAAAGTGTATTAGGCATTTTTCTTACTGCCGTGACTGAATACCAGATCAGTAGCAACTTAAGGGAAGGAGAGTTTATTTTGGGGGTGAGCAGTCCTTCCTAATGGGAACACATGGCAGCAGCAACATGAAGTGGCTGGTCACTTTGTGATTACAGCCAGGAAGCAGAGAACTGACAGGATGCTGAGCCAAGCTCTAACACCTCATGGTTCGTCCAGCCAGGCTCTAGCTCCTAAAGGTTCCACAAACTTCCACAACAGTACCATAAGCTGGAGACCAAGTGTTCAAACACATGGGCGGATAAGGAACATCTCACATTCCCCCACAAGTGACTGCAGTTCTCTTCAGCCTGTACACTTGGTAACTTTGTACCTCTTCATAGCCTTTGCAGGGGCAGTGTCACATGACTTGCTCTGGCTAATGAAATCAGAGAAGTGCTGGGCACTGAGCTTTCCAAAGCAATCTCTGTTATGGTTTAAGTGTCAGTGGTGTCCCTCAGAGGCATATGTTATGGCTCAGCCTCATGGAGGGAGTGAAGCTGTATGGGTATCCACTTGAAAGACTGTCACCTCACCTGTCCTTACAGGTCTCTGCTTCCTGCCTCACAGGTGACGAGTTTACTCTGCCACCTGATCCCACAATGATATGCCACCCGTGCCAGAGACCCAAAGTGATGAGGCTGCCAGTCCTCTACTAGTACACCCAGAACTGTGAGCTCAACGAGTCTCTTTATAAGTCAATGGCTGCAGACACTGCAGTACAGCAATGCAAAGCTGATGCAACCGTCTTTGAAAAGTGCTGCTAGGTGAATGTGATTGTTGCCTGGCTTCTCTTCAGATGACAAATAACTTTCATCATATTGTTGATATGCTTTATGATATAGAACTCTTTAAAAGAATTTATAAGCAAAAGAAGCCAGTTGAAACTAGGTAAAGGGCACGGACTGAGCACTTTTCTCAAATGCTGCTCTCTTCAACATCTAAAGACGGGGAAGAGAGAAAAGATGGTGGGTGCAAACTTACCGTGGAAGCTGGAAAGCAGGTGAAAACACTGATTGCCATTCCACCCACCTCACACAAACTATGAACCCTAAGTTGGCAGATGGAAAGTACTAGGAACCAACAGCAGAGTCCCCAGCAGGACCCAGGAACATGGACAGGGAGGGGATGTCCCATAGAGACCAGGTGAGGGCTGTGGGAGAAGCACTTAGACCAGAAAACCCCATATTTCTCCTCTTGCTCTGGGCTCTCACTCTTCAAGTGACTGGAGGTCTGTTACACGAACAGGACAAATATAAAAGGGTGTGGGCTTTGGGGTCATCAGGCCCACCTGACAACAAGGGAGGGGGACTCCAAGCTCCACGTGGGGTTGGCTAGTGTCATACTGACTGAATGCCAGCTCCAACCTCTTTCCCACATGGTTGCCAGACTCAGATTCAAACCGTGTGTGTGCTAGGTGGGTGAATCACAACTGTTACCCCAGCACTCAGTAAGTAGAGGCTGGAAGACGAGGAGTTTAAGGTCATCATTAGCTATACAGCTAGTTTGGGGCCAGCTTAGGCTACATGAGACCTTGTCTCAACAGAACAGAAAAGCAAGATGCAAATTCATGTGCACAACAGACTGCATTGCTGAGTGGGGTATTTGGGAAACCCCATGAGGCCAGTGGCTACTGTACTGGGCAACGAAGATAAGACTGCTATCAGTACAGAAAATGAAGCTTGGGGATGTAGCTCAGTGGTAGAGTGCTTGCCCCAAATCTACCAGTGAGGAGCTGGGGCTGGGGCTGAGTAGAAGAGCACCTACCTAAAATATGCCAACGAGGAGCTGGAGATGTGGCTTAGTGGTAGAGCCTCTGCCTAGAATTCCTCAGTAAGGGGTTGGTGACATGGTTCAGTGGTAGACTACTTTCCTAAAATCCCCCAGTGAGGGGCAGGAGTGTGGCTCAGTGGTACAGCACCTGCTTGGAATCCTCCAGTGAGGGGCTAGGGTGTGGCTCAGTGGTAGAGCACCTGCCTAGAATCCCCCAGTGAGGGGCTGGGGGTGTGGCTCAGTGGTACAGCACCTGCTTGGAATCCCCCAGTGAGGGGCTGGGGGTGTGGCTCAGTGGTGGAGCATCTGCCTAGAATCCACCAGTGAGAGGTTGGGGGTGTGGCTCAGTGGTAGGGTATCTGCCTAAAACACCCCAGTGAGGTGCTGGGGCATGGTTCAGTGGCAGAGCACTTGACTGGCATGCATTAGGCCCTGAGTTCTATCCCTAGCACAGCCTAAATAAAGAAATAAAATAGTAAATAGCACCTTACAATTGTCCCTCTGCACATCCTTACCTTCTGCTTTCTAATACCCTCCAGTCCACCATATTACATAATATCATTTCCTGGCTGGTGAATTTACAGGTGTTTTCATCTTGGGAACATTCATTAAACTATATATTTACCATTTATGCACTTTCCATTTGTCTAGTGCAAGCTGGAAAAAAAAAATAGATGGTACCTTCCATCACTTGGCTCCTCCTCTTCTTACTAACCAACTTAACTGACATCCTATCTGGGTGTTTTTGTTTCTGCCACTGGAACTTCTGCAAGGTAGCCAACAGCCATGCATGCCTATTTAAATTTAATTAAAATGAATTCAGATACTTAGGGTACTGGTTGCATTTCAAGTGCTCGTCAGTCATAAAAGGCTTGGGTTCCCACTTAATGCAGTGCAGAATCACAGAGCGTCTCCACAAGACAGAAGGTGCTGCTAGGAGGCCTGCACTAGAGAGCCCTGTGGCTGCACCTCCAGTACCCAGCAGGTGCTTGCTGAATTGAATGGATGAATGAAGAGATATGTGGGTAGAGAATGACAGACCCATGAAATCAGTCAATGTGGCTCCCCTCGCCCAGTGTTGCCTCCTGTGAGGCCATACCTTGGCCTCTGGGTCGGTGCGGAAGAGTCCCTCGAGCACTTGCAGGGCATCCAGGACCCCGTGATCTGGGCCCTTGCAGTGGGACAGCAGGCGGCGCACATCAGCGGGAGCCACGAACTGCTTGGAGATCTGGTTGGTGACACGGACTGGCAGGCAGGCATTAGCCAGCAGGTGGCCTGGGCGGAAGTGGTAGGCAAACTCTCTTGGGCAGGCGGGGTGCGAGTGGGTCAGCTGGCATTCAGAAACCACGAGTCGATCCCGCAAAGGGCTCAGCTTGATGGTGATGAACGCAGGGCAGCTGGGTTGGGGGGGCCTGCAGAAGGAACCACCACTGCCTTGGTCACAGGTCACGCCTGTTTTGTTCTTGTTTTTTAACTTCTATCGTTCTCATCCCCCCTCTCCTCACCGCCATTTCAACGATAGAGAAAAGTAGAAGGGCTTAAGAATATGCTCTAAATTTGGGTAAGTCTCCGTACCTCAGTTTCCCTGTGTTAAAGGGAAATGATTACAGACCTTGCTCATAGGACCTTTGTGAGGATGGAAAGAATCGATAGTGTAAAACCCTTAAAAGACTGTCTGAAATTGCCGCTGAAACACCATGCTAGAGGTTGGCGATCTCGCACCGCACACTCAGCTCTGCTCAAAGTCCAAGAACACCCTGCTATAATAAATTTTTAGAATACACAGAATTTTTATAGAAAATTTTAGCAATAAAATGTAAGGGGCTAGTAAGACCACTCAGCAAGCACTTGCTTCCAAGCCTCAGATACGAGTTAATCCCCAGGACCCACATGGTGGATGGAGAGAGCCAACTTCACAAGCTGTCCTCTTGACTTCACACCTGCACACACACACATAGACACACAATAAGTAAATACATGTAATAAAAATCATATTAAGAACACTTCAGATGGTCTTAATATCTGCTTCTGTTTAATAATACCCTCTCTAGGGGCTGAAGAGATGACTCAGCAGTTAAGAACATTGTTCTTGCAGAGGACCCCCGATGGATTCCCAGCACCCACATGGCAGCTAACAACTGTCCGAAACTCCAGTTCCAGGGGATCCAACGCCCTCTTCTTATCTCTGCGGGCATTGCATGACATGGGTACACCTACCTACATGCAAGCAATTCACTCACACACAAAATAAAAATATTTTAAAATAGGGGCTGGAGAGATGGCTCAGTGGTTAAGAACACAGTGTTCTTTCAGAAGACCCAGGTTCGAATCCCAGCACCCACATGGCAACTAACAACTGTCTGTAACGCCAGTTCCAAGGGATACGACAGCCTCTTCTGACCTCTGCCGGCATTGCACGACATGGGTGCACTTACCTACATGCAGGCAACACACACATACACATAAAATAAAAATAATAAAAATAATTTTTAAAGAATTAAAAAGATATATTTAAAAATAAAACAATACCCTCTCCAGAGGCTTGAACAAGTATGTCCTTCCCTTGTCCATACAGGCTACCACTACCTGAAATTATGTATTTCACCTTTCCGTGTTTTCATAACCACAAACAATGGATGGTATGCTTCTGCTTTCAAACTTTGTATATCCAGCTGTTCAGGCCAAGACAGGATGGTCAGTTGAGCCCAGGAGTTTAGTTTTAACTGGCTAATACAGTCAGACCCCTTCTTAAAAGTCAAATGAGAAAATGGAAATAAAATTATTTCAAAATAGAGAGGGATGATAGGAGCAAATGTGCATCATGATAGGCTGCAGCTGGGGCTCACCCAGCACTGATGTATCAAACATGCTCTGGAAAACCATGTGGTGGTACCTACCAATGGAGTACCACACCTCATGATGCCACTCAAGGGAACTGCCTACATATGGGCACCAAAAGAAATGCACTGGTACGTTCAATGACAGGACTATGCATATCGGTCAAATTCCTGAAACCCAGATAAAAAACCATAGGTCAAGAAAACAGGCTTTGCTACATTTTGAACACTTTAATGCCAACCAACACTAAGAGCCGACAAACCATTATGACCTCCAACATGGATGAGCCTCAACAAAGCCAGGAATGAAGGCAGTCCATGATGGTATACCCACCTACGTTAAGGTCAGTGGCAGAGCAACGTTACCTCTACTGTTACACTAGACAGCAGTTACCTTTGAGTGGCTAATCCTAGGAGGAAAGATGGGGGACTTTGGAAGAACTGGCCATGCTCTGGGTTTTGTTCTGAATGGTTACAGATCCATTTTGAGAAAACTCATCATGTTGTACATGCATGATGGGCGCATTTTCCTGTGTTATATTCTGGAAAAATATTTGGAGTACTGTAGTGAGACAATAGCGCCTCAAAAATGTCCCTATCCTAGTCACTGGAACGCTGTGTCACCTTACACAGCACAAGGCACTTTGCAGGTGTGATTAAATTAAAGGTCTTCAGATGGGAAGATTCTGGATGACAGTGGGAGTAAGGGCAACAATGTCAGCACAAAGATGCCCTTAGGAGGGAAGAAAAGGGATCAAAGACATAAAAAGACCATAAGTTGCTGTGCTGCTGGCTGTGGAAATAAAGGTGGGGGAGGGGTCAAAAGAACCTGAGTGGGCTCCAGAAGCTGGCCGGTCAAAGATCTGGTTGTCCCAGAGCCTCTAGAAGGAAAGCAGGCCTAGAGACAGCAGAGCTTTAACTTAGCAAGACCCATGCTGGCCTTCCAACCCACAGAGCCCAAGATAAGTTATTGTTTGGGACTGGGATGTGGCTTGCTTAGTGGACTGCCTAGTATGTATGAAGTCCTGGGTTCCATTCCCAGTACTGCATAAGCTGCACATGGAGCCACATTGGGTCCTGCAGACTTTGCTGTGCTCCACTTCAAAACCCTGACAGTCAAGAGATTTCCTGGTCACTAACACCTCAGCAGACACTCTTGGACATGTCTGTGAGTGCATCTGTCTGGGACAATGATTCTCAAACTGCAGAGCATAGCCTATAGCACAAAATCAATTTAGGGCGTTAGTGCACACTTTGTAAAGAATGAAAAATGGAAAAGGGAAAAACATACCAGTGTTTAGATTTGATCCTCAGCAATCAAAAAAGGGGGGGGCTGGAGAGGTGGCTCAGGGGTTAAGAGCACTGGCTGCTCTTACAGAGGACCGGGGTTCAATTCCCAGCACCCACATGGTGGCTACGAACCGTCCTTAACTCCACTTCCAGGGGAATCTGATGCCCTCTTCTGACCTCCACGGCATTGCACAACACAGGTGTACTCACATACATGCAGGCAATACACTCATACACATAAAATGAAAATAATAAAATATAAAAAATAGTATTTTTGCAATATATAAAGGCCCTGGAGATATGGCTCAGCGGTAAAAAGAACATACTGCTCTTGCAGAGGACCCGGGTTTGATTCCCAGCACCCACATCGGGTGGCTCACAGCTGCCTGTAACTCCAGTTCAGGGAATCTAATGCCTTCTGGCCTCAACCAGCACCAGCACACATGTAGTGCTCATAAACTCACTCAGGCAAGCATACATACTTATAAATATTTAAAAACACCAATATTTAAGTTGTCATCTTCTCCCTGAAAGGGGATTCAGCAGTATTTCTGTATGGGGTGGTGTAAGATTAGCATTTTCCTGCTAGGAGGTTTTAGGTACAGAATAGTGGCTGGCAAACATTTTATTCAAGGGTCAAACAGTAGATATATTCTGGTGTTCTACTGCAATCAGATATATACAAATATATGGAGGTGAATGGGTGTGGCTGTATGCCAATAAAACTTTATTTCTAAAAATGGGCTGCAGGGTGGATGAGGCCCAAGACTTTCCCAGCTTGATGACTCTTGTAACACGAGAGTCTGGCATGAAGTCATGGTTCTTTGGTATCTAGTAAATGTCAGTAACAGATCCCCCAAAATGTGCTCACAATTTTTCCAAATGGCACCTGAGATAGGTGATTCACCTCAGGATAAAAAACATACTAAAAATTACCTCAACATACCTCTTTTCTCCTACATGCACACCCAGGAATAATGAGACTTTTTCCTTCTACTTAAAGCAATAAAAGTAATGTGATTTTAGCAAACATTTATTTTTGAGAGTCAGCAGCCCAGTAACCCAGGTTGGCCTCGAACTCACTGCCTCAGTGCCATAATGAGAGAAAATTCTTAAGTATAGAAATCATAACAAAATACAAACATGAAACCAGCAGTGGTACTAGAGGAAAGTCACATGCAGCCATTTTTGATCTACCAAAAAGGTGGGATCTTGAGATCCCACCTAGCACATTTTCCAAGGATAGTTCACTGTGGAATGTGAAATTCTGGTCTGACCATTTTGAGGAACAGTGTTTCTACCCCTACGTCAGGTCCTCACTCAAGGGAGGCCACCCCTCTCTGAAGCCATCCATCTTGCCAGAGATTAACACGTGTCCTCTATGCAGTCTCAGCATCTCACAGAACCACCTACAGAAATCTCAGCTTCCACAAACAGGAGTAGGTAAGGCTAGTGCCCCTAAATGCAAATTCTATGTGGATAATTTTTGTCTGTCTTATCCCTGTCACCCAGAGCAGCACCTGGGCCCTAAAGAAGCTCAGTAAATATATAGTTACTCCTCCATATCCCCTGGTTCCATATCCACAGCCATTAATAATAATAAAAAAAGCAAGCTATTTGGAAAAAAAATCCATCTATACTGAGTACGTACACACTTTTCTTGTCATAATCCCTCACCAGTGCAACAGAACTACACACGTAGCTTGTGTATGCAGTCAGCATTACCAGTCATCTAGAGGTGATTTCAAGTTTGTGGGAGGATGTGCACGGATTATACACAAATGCTACACGATTTCATGGAAGAGATTTGATTCTGGTGTTCTGGAACGAATCCAGATACTAAAGAACGGCTATGTGCTGAGTGAATCATTGACACCTGGCACACTCACTGTGCCCATTTCATCAAAACCATCCATCATCATGTTGAAACCTCTCCAGACTATCTGTGGTTTTCCACTGTCACTATCATCAATCTAGCCTGAGTTCTTTCCTGTCATGAAACATTCTTTTCCCATCTTTTTACCTATTCAACTTGCTCATCCTTCAGAACGTACCACCAGCACCACCTCCTCCAGGAAGCCCTCCCTAACCAACCCTAGACAGGAACAGATTCCAACACATATTGGGGTGATGATTTGAATGATGCCTGTCTGAATCCTATGCTCCCTCCCACTGCGGCTTGGACACATGCAACACACACGAGGTGCTCAGAACTCTCTTCAATAACTGGACACACAGGCAGTTGTGCAGAAACAAAACCATCAGGGCACTGGCACATTCAACTCACAAACTGTCAACCCACAGCTGAAACGCAGATGGGTAAGGGAAGACAGGGTGGACACTAGAAACAGGAGCTTGAAGTTGGACTGTGGGGTCCAAATCCTGGTTTTTCCTCAATAGCTGGGTTATTGTGGGAAAGTCCTCTACACTGTGCTCTGGTTTCCTCTCCGGAAACTGAGGCTGAAATAATGCCATCCTCACGGACCCATTGAGAGGAATAGATGTACGGTGGTTAGTAAGAGTAAACATTTAACAAACGGCAGTTGCTATTTCCAAAATATATTATTTTTTCTTCTAAAAAGACAGTTTTCACTGGTTTGGTATTCCCCATAAATTTTTAATTTTCTTTTGTGTCAGGAGCCAGGAGTGTGTAGGTCAGATGGCAACTTTTGGGAATCATTTCTCTCCCTCCAAAATGTGGGTCCTGGGATCAAACTCAGGTCATCAGGCTTAACAGCAAGTATCTTTACACACTGAGCTATCTTGCTGGCCCAACATATTTATTCTTGATGTTGTAGACTTGTGTTCTCAAAGGATGGGGCATACTGGGAAAAGTAGATCAGTCTTATCTAGAGACAAGTGTTAGGGGGAATGAGGCAGGTGCTGGAGAGCCAGGGTGCAAGCAGGGTGACTTGGAGGTCATGGAACCTCTGGAAAGGGAGTAGCTGGGAAGAACCCATTTACCTACACTTCCCAGCCTCAGCCTCCTCCACGGCCTCCCAACTCCTCTACCACATAGGCCAGGGATCTTTTCTAAATCAGTGCTGACCCTGCTCACAGTCTTTTGGGGCTCCCCAGTGTGAAGTTCCAGTCCCTGGACTAAGCTCTGCCAGGTCCCTACTTCACATTTCTGCCTCAGTCTTCAACCCATGGCCTGTCCCTGAGCTGTGACACTGGAAAGGCCCTGATCTGAGCAACTAGGGAAGGCAAATGCAAGAGCTCAGAATGAAAAGCTCAAGCCACTGTCCCCAAACCAGCCACCAACCACCCCCGCGCCCCCGTGGAAGTCCCCATCTGGGAACCAGTTCACTGTTCCCTGTGTCACCAGGCCCAAGTTCCAGGCACTAATCTCCCTCCACAGCCTTGTCCCTCCTGTCCAATGGCACTTTCTGGTATTTGTAGAAAACACGGGACAGAATCTGAAAATATTAAGTACCCTGTGTTAAGTCAAAACCTTCACATATATATGAATAAAACTTTCCAAGGATCTTACTGGTCACCTCTTCTAGAAAAACATCTAGAACCATCCTTAAGATTTCTGGTATAAGGAGACCAGATGGCTCAGTAAGTAAAGGTGCTTGCCACCAAGTCAAGCCTTGACAGGGATCCCTAGACACAGGGTGGAAGGAGCGAATCAACTCCAGCAAGTTAGCCTCTAACTTCCACTCATGCACCATGGCACGCTCCCTGCACCTACAAAAGAAACGAGAGTAAAGAAATAGAAATACAAAAAGATTTCAAGTACAATGGGCACTTTCCTTTTTGTTCACCTGCCTCCCACCTCTACCCTCACCTTGACTCTCACTAGTGTTATCTGCAGCTTTCTGTCTTTTCCTCTCTCTCCTTCCCTCCCTCCCTCCTCCCTCCATTTTTCTTTCCTTTGGTCTTTGTCTCCCATTAGGTTCAAGAGCTGAGATCAGTTCTGATCTAAAAAAAAAAATAAATAAAACGCAGTGAAGAATATGCACACGGTAGGTGCTCAGCAATTATTTATGAGATTAAATTGGGCCCTGCTGGCAAGGACGGATTCTGGATTAGGCCTGTCTTTTCTAGACTGTTGAAATAACTGTGGGTGAGAACAGCTGTGGGGTGCTCTTCTGAACAAGTAACATATATCAGCTCATGCATTCCTCACAGAACCTGTAAGACAGATACTTTTATGTCCCTTATTTTCCCAGTGAACAAACTGATGCCCAGAAAGGTAAAGGCCAGAGTCTATGCCCCTGACTCTTCTAACAACTATCCCTTAATCAGTTGGCCCTGGGTTCCAGGCATGGGGTAAATGCCCTCCATGTCCATGACCATACATCCTCACAATGGCCCTGGGAGGCAGGTTTGCATGTGACAGCTCCATTTCAGAGACATGAACACTGAGGCTTGGAGGTGTGAGGTCCACTGCCTTTTCAGCAAGCAGTGGAGCTAGAATCAAGCAACCCAAAACCACAGGCTGCATTAAGCATTCTGCTCTTATCTATGGCCCCCAACCAATGGTCCAAACCCCCCATATACACAGGTGCCAGACATGCAGAAGAAGTGACAGCTCGGAACAAATGAGAACTCTAAATCCTCACCTGACTAGGTGCCCATTTGCTACATGAAGCATGGATTTGTCTTGTTCCCTATTCACAGAAAGCTAGGGGCCCATGGCACAGTGATGTTTAAAACTAGGACCAGTGAGAACATCCTTGGCCCCAAGTGTGATACCTGGTTCTCATGGACTGTCACCTGACCTCTGTGTGGCACTATACTGTCACAGGGAACCACCTGCAAGCTTGTTCTATTAATAGCAGTCCTACTGTCCAGTCAGAAAGTTCCAAAAGGGCACAGAGTTTTGTCTTTTGGTCCCCACAACACTAAAACATTCCCAGCTCCCAGCACAGGCCCTGGCCCTATACTGAAGAGATCTTTTTGTCTTGTGGCTTTCCCTGCAGTTCAGTCTTCCAAGCTGGTCTTTGAATATGTGCAAAGCCTGGCTCTACTTCCCTAGCTCCCTCTGGTACCTCCAACTCTCACTGAATTTTTATTTCTTTTTCTGTTTCTTTGTGTCTCTCATTCTAAGAGCTTCTATTAAATGCTGTATATTGAGCCTGGGTTGTTTCACAGTGAGTACCTTTGTGCCCTGGCTCTGTCCCCTTGTTCAGTAAGTATCCCTCCATGAATCCACCCTGCCTGGCCTCTCTGGGCTTGGCAGTCTCCAGGGGCTTCGCTCCCTCCTAACTGTGGGTGGGAACCTGCTGCTTGGCTCACCCCTAGCTCCCCTCCCCTGTAGGGTCACTGCTCAGGTTCACGCACCACTCTGGGGGCTGGTTGGGCATGCGCACATCCTTGCACACCAGGAGCACGTAGCTGTACTTGAGCACGTGGATGAGCCTGTAGAGCGGGGGCGTGCTGGCCCAGGGGCTGCGAGCCACATGTGTGGAGCTCTTGACCGAGAAGACCACCAGCCGCTGCTGGCACCACTTGTCGAAGAAGCAGCTGAACTCAGCCCAAGAGAAAAAGGCTCTGTCCAAAAGTTCCTGCTCCTCCTTCTGCACCGCCGTGCCTGGTGGAGGCTCCGTCAGCTCCATCTTGGGGCCCTGAGCAGAAGGGGGTAAAACAGCTGTATATTAAACCCATCCCCACCTGGATTATCTCATTTTCTCGATTCTCAGCCTGTCTTATTAGCTGTCTGTGCCTCTATTCAGGTGGGTCTTGGGCAGATGGAAGTGGGATTTTGCTTGTTCAAGTTTTTATCAGACAGAAATCTCCATCCCATTTTTGTGATCCACCTGTTGTTTCCCTAGGTTTGGCTGGCACTTAAGTGAATTTCAATTCTGGTTCTTATCACCCTAGAGGGCTAGATGTGCCCTCTAGGTACAGGTGGGGTCAGTTTCTCCAAATGTGTCCCTTCAGCCCAGCTATGGACACATCCTTACATACATTCCTAACTTCCAGCTAAGATCTTTCTCCCACTCCAGATGTGCCTCCTGTCTCTGATGATAACCACTAAATGGCCCCATTCATCTGAACTTCCTTTTCCATGAGTCTCTATTTGACCGAAGCTCCTAACCTGTCCCCTCACATCCAGGCTTATTCTTCACACACCTTGGCTTCCTCCTCCCACACGTGTCAGATTGGGAGCTGTTGCCCCTCACTCAGTTTTGACCGTCATGAATCACCACATTGATCTGTGTCCTACTTCCTAGAGATGCTCTTATCTCCTGATGCGTCCCCACGTCCAGTCCTGGATCCTTCGTCTATAGGGGTGTGGCCCACTTGTGGCCAATTCAACTCAGAAGTGTCACCAATATTCATCCGTCGTCCACGCTCCTGCGACTGACTCTCCTCCCAGGTCAAGTTATGGCCCCCTCTTCCCTGAAATAGCCACCATCCTCAATGTGTGTCTTCCTTCTGGACATGGCCCCCTTGTCCTCCGATGGGTTTCTTCACCCTCGACGCTCCCCCCACGTCCAGTGGAGCCTGCCCGCCGTCCCGCAGCCCCTTCTAGCCGGTCCCCACCATCCCAAACCCTCCGGGTCCCACTTGCCACAGCCCCTCCCAGCCCGACCATCCCACCCAGCTGTGCCACTCCACTCCCCAGCTGTGCACCCTTCTGCCCCCTCCCCCCAACTCACCTACCCAACCCCGAGCGGCGGCCACCTCCCACAATGCCCCGCGCCCAAGCCCGGCCCGGCCCTTGCTCCCGGGATGCCCCGCGCGGCCTCCCGCCTCTCTTCCCGCCGTGCCTCGCAAGGCAGCTTCCATCAACCCTTTTTCTCTCCCTAGTTATCACCCTTGCGACCCCGTAACCTCACCCGCTCATCCACGGGGAACGCAGACTCGGGGCCGTCTCCCAGCATGCTGTGCGGGTCGGCTCATTTTTACCCACCCCCAAGCCCTCACTCCGCCTCCTAAGCCTGGCCGCCTCACGCTGGACAGACTACAACTCCCAGTATTCTCTAGGGTTAATGGCGGCGCCCGGGCCCGCCTCCAGACGTCCCCGCCCCTGCCCCCTCCCGCCAAAGTCTGCGCGCGAAATCCGTGTGGCGCGAACCCGGAGCTTTCGGGAGCAGTCGCGGAGCAAGCGAGTTCGGCTACACGCCGCGGCCTGAGAGGTAAGTGGGGTCGTGTGTGCGGGGCGCGGGGCAGGGGGCGGCGAGCGTGCCGAGCACTCCAAGCCTGTGGGCATTGCGGGTCCCAGCTGGCGAAGGCGGCCGCTGGGGGCTGAAGGCAGCGCGCGGTCCCAGGAGCTGGGTGGAGGAAGAGGAGGTGCCGGGTGACGGCCGAGGAGCCAGCTGAGGGCTGAATCACGGCTCCGAGGGCTGCAAGCATCTGTGTCTTGGGAGAGGCCTGGAGAGGTCGAGGTCGGGCTGCCTGGAAGGGGGAGAGGCCTGGAAGGCAGAGGGGCGGGGCCAGGGGAGAGGGCTGGGCCTTCGGAATTGGAAGAGCCGGGAGAGGCGGGGATTTCCGGAAGGCCGGGGGCGGGTTCCTTGATGGTGCTAATATTATCCCTTTGAGGATGTAAGGTCTGTTGGACCGAGGTAATGGGGGCGAGGGGATGAATGTCAGTGGTCAGGTTCCGAGTTCTTCTTGGGTGGAGAAAAGTGGAAAGAGCCAGGGAAACGGTGAGCTGGACAGCAGGAAAGGGACCAAGGCCCCAGGCACAGATGGAGGCCAGGGAGCAGGTTTGTTGGTGAGATCTGGGAGCCCTTAGGGTAGCATCGGGCATCTTGTTGCTTTGAAGGGAAGGGTGGGAAGGGGAGCAGAAGAGCTTGGACAGGAAAATAGAAGGAAATCTCCAGGGTCGTGGGTAGGTAGGACAGTTGTTAAGGTGAAGGACATTTAGAAAGGGAATGTGGCATCTGTTATCCAAGGAGGGTGGGGATGTAGCTTGATGATAAAGGATAGAGCCCTGCCTGAATTCCATCCTCAGTACCTTAAAGAGAGAAAGAAAGCCAAGGGAATCTGATTGGGAGGTAGACCCTGCAAACTAGAAATCTTGGGAGACAAGAATTCTTTGTTCAGCTGTGTTTTGTGTATAGAGGTGAACCAAACATGGTCTTTTGTGGACTGTGCCTTTTTGCCTTTTTTTTCTTTTTCTTTTTCAGACTTCATGTACAGGATAAATCAGAATGTTTTAAAGTGAGGGACTCTTAACCAATAGAATACTTGAATTTTTTGGAACTCGACCACTCTTTAAATTACTTCTGGGTTTTCCTGAATTCTGAGCTTTAAACCTGTTATAGTTCCAATATGTACTTCTGTGCATACTTTGAGCTTCTGGCCCTCAGCTTTTGGCACTGTTTTGAAGGTTGTGATGCATGTGCAAAGTGGGGTGTGGCTGGTGGAAGTAGAGCACTAGGGGTGGGGTTTTTTGGAAGGTTATGCTACATCTAGTTCATGGTTGGGCACTGGGTCCTTTCCACCAATGTCAACAGGCATTTGCTACATGGAAATAGGCGTTTGCTACATGCTCCCACTGCTGTGCACACCTGCTTTCCTCGGCATAATGAACAAAACCCTGTGAAAGTTGAAATAAACCTTCCCTTAAGTTGTGTGACAGTGATGCAAAGCAGTTCATACAAGCCTATGTACCCAATGATAGTGCTTATGTTCAAATATACAGAAGCACAGAGCATCTGGGGTGGCAAACCGTCTCTTACTTTGATTTTGCAATTTGTTCACACCTTGCTGTTTGTATCATATGTGTTTATGGTGCTAGGGATTGAACCTAGGGCTTTGCATGTGCTATGCAAGCACTCTGTGGCTGAACTGTATCCCCAGCCTATATGTTTTTGTTTCAAATAATTTTTATTATGGAACATTTCAACCATGGAAGAAAATTAGAGCAGTCTATTGAACCTCATTGACCAGGCCTAGTAATTATTAAAATGTATCTGTGATTATTTTATCTATACCAGTCTTCCCTATGAAACAGAAAGGCCCTGAATTATTTTAAAGCAGGCTTGAGGTATTTGCAGAAATAAGTAGTTAACAGGCACCACTCCATTTTGTCAACAACAAAAAAAGAATTTATAGGCCAATCTCTGTAAAGAACACAGATGAAAAATTGTCAATAAAATACATGGAAACTGCCAGGCGAGGTAGCACACTCCTTTAATCCCAGCACTCGGGAGGCAGAAGCAGGCATATCTCTGTGAATTCAAGGCCAGCCTGGTCTACACAGTGAGTTCCAGGACACCTGGGGCTACAGGGAGATGATGTCTCAAAAAGAAAAAAAAAAAAAAAAAAAAAAAAAATGCATCATCTTATGTAGCCATGATACCAGCTTTACACCTAACAGAATTAAAAGTCCTTTAAGGTCATTTTAGGTGGTTTGTGGAGATGACCTTAAATAACATTGACTCAGTCAGAAAGACAGTCCCTTCATATACTTTGCAAGTTAGTTTCTTTAGAGGAAAAGACTCCATTGGTTCAATGGTATCCTCTGCACCCTCTGACTCTTGGTTAATTGACACTTAGAGTAAGCACACAGCAGCAGGCCTGGTCTCAGAGCCCTCCACAGCACACACTCTCTAACTAGACCTTAGTGATCTGGTTCTGTTTCTTGTGTTTGTTTTTATCAGTGTGTTTTATTTGTGCTGAGTGCTGTTTCCATTTCCTGGGTGGAGGAGATATGAAAGAAATTTTCTTTGTTTAGTGCAGGTCTTTGGAGTCTGGAGCCAAACTACCTGGATTGAATCCCCCTATACCACTTACAGTTTCTGTGATTTAGGGCAGGCATACCTGCCTCCTTCCCTCTCTGCCTACCTGCCTCCCTCCTTCCCTCCTCCCTTCCTTTCTTCTTTCTTCCTCTCCCCTTTCTTCCTTTTCCCATGTAGCCTAGGCTGGTCTGAAACGCCTCATCCTCCTACCTCTTCCTCCTGAGTGCTAGAGTTACAGGCCTGTGTCACCGTGCCTGGCATTGTTGTCTGTTCTTTCTAAAGTATTTGTTTCCTTGTCAGTAAAATAGGATAAAATTGAGAATATCCTCCTCAAGCTATTGGGAGGCCAGGTTATTATTCCTTATTACAGAATCTCAGCAACCCTAAGTTTTCTGTGTACCATCTGTATCCCAGTACATACAAAGGACCCTTACCTCCCTCATCCTCTGTATGGTTGGATCTAGACACCTGGCTTCAGTGACTGATTCTGCAGCCCATGAAGCTGTATGACTTTAACAAATTACCCAACCTTTCTGTACCTGTTTCCTTATTTGTAAAAGCTATAATAAATCACAATAGGATTAAAAGCACTCAGCATAGTATTATTTGGTAAACAACCTAACAACCTTTAATAAAAAATTGAATCATTTACAGAAAAGAGTGAAAATGTATTATCTTACACATAGTGATACAGAAATTCCTCAGGTGGTATGAAGAATGTCTGATGTTGGGAAAACAGTTCTCACAGGGGATGGTGGGAATCAGGCACAGCTCTGCCTCTTCAGAGCTCCATTTACACTGAGGATAGACCCATTACCATTGGGGTACCGGGTCACTATAAGATCTGTGAGGAGAGGAGTACCAATTAACCACACAGGAGTCAGAGCTGCAAGTATCTTGAGCTGGTGTGGTGGTGCTTACCTGTAATCCCCACACCTGGGGGACTGAGGCAGGAGGCCCAAGAGTTTGAAGCTTTCTGTACAGTGAGACTTTGTCTCAAAACAACATAACTCCCACTCATCCCGAACAAAAGCAAGCATATCTTATAGCAAGTACTCAGGGAAGTTTCCAGAATAGCAATGGTGATCCAGTCTGGCCCTCAGAGAAAGACCACAGAGGCTGGGGCAAGGTGCACCCAGAGGGAAGAGGCTGGAGGAAGCTGGTGTAATACAAGTAAAACATTGAGCAAAGCATGTATTCCTGTGGTTCACAAATAAAACTAGCATATACCTCCATCCTAGTCAACCACGCTCCTGCCTGTCCCTCCCCATTGTTGTGGTTTTCTTGGGCATTCTAGGGTTTGTGTTTGCAAATACAGGTAGTTTCTCCACCTTCTGATCCACTGCCACATTGTGTGCTAGTTAAATGTTTTTTACTTAATATATCTATGCTAGGTCATAGGGGACTCTGTTTTATTTTTAAAACTTTTATTTATTTATTTATTTATTTATTTATTTATTTATTTATTTGTTTGTTTGTTTGTTTATTTAAGGCCAGGTCTCACATATCCCAGGAGATGACATAAAATTCCTCATCCTCCAGCCTCTGCCTCCCAAGTACTGGGATTACAGGTAGGCACTACCACACTTGGTTTATATGGTGCTGGGAACTGAATCCCAGGGCTTTTTATGTACTGGGCAAGCACGCTACCAACTGAGGTGCATCCACAGTCCTTGTTATGGTTGATTATTGTTTTTATTTTGAAATATTGTTAAACTCACAGGAAGCTGTAAAACTAGGCATCCAGTCTCCTCCAGTGGAGACATCTTATGGAACTGTAGTGTGCTGTCAAACCCAGGAGATTGGCATCAGTGGAATATAGTTAACTTACTACAGACCTTTTTCAGTTCTCATGGTGGGGTGCGTGCGCACATGCATGGTGGTGGTGATGTGGTGGTGGTGGTGTGCTGCTGGTTTGAATGAGAATGTTCCCCATGGGCTCCAAATATTTGAATACTTGGTCCCAAGTTGGTGGCACTGTTTGGAGAGGGAGGTGTGGCCATGCACATCACCGAGACTGGACTTTGAGAGTAGATAGCATTGCCCATCTTCCAGTTAGTCTCTCCTGCTTGTGCTTGCTTGAAGATGGGAGTCCTCAGCTTTCTGCTTCAACCGCCTGTGCTGCTGTGCCTCCCCCACGATGGACTTATCTGGCTGGACCAGTAAGCCAAATAAACTCTTCCTTCTATAAGTGACTTTGGTCATGGTGTTTTGTCACAGCAGCAGAAAAGCAACTGATATATATGAGTATGTGTGTGTGTGTGTGTATGTGTGTGTGTGTGTGTATGTGTGTGTGTGTCTGTCTGTCTAATTTAACCCCTTGCATAGATTTCTGTAGCAACCGACACACTTGGCTTAGAGAATGGAACTCCTCAAGCTTCATTTTTCTCCTCATAGCCATAATCTGGTCTCTCTTGCTATGCAGCCAAGATGGTCTTGAATTGCTGCTCCTGCCCCCACCTCCCCAGCGCTGGGATTTGAAGCTGCATGCTGCACACCATGCCCAGCTTGTTTGCTCTCATTCTGTCATTTGGAATCCTACAGCGTGTGGCCTTTATGACATTTGTCACTCAGCACTCAAGCTGCTGCAGACACAGGCACTGCTCTGTTCTTCTTGCCCGGTTATCCATCCTCAGTGGATGTTGCCCTTGTCATCATTTATTGACTTGTTTGGTCTCAGCCTTATTAAGGAACAGTTCACAGCTTCAGGTGGTGCTCTGGCTATTGTCCAGCCTCTTGTAGTGTCGTTATAAACTGTTCTTCCTATTCTAGAAGGGGTATAATTAACATACCATGCAGTTTGTCCATTTCAAGTAGAGTTGTTTGTAGGATGTTTAGTGAGCTACATGGTCATTACCGCAGTCAATTCTAAAACAGCTGCAGCAGCCCTGAAGAACTCCTGTACCCTTTGGCTATCGTTCGTTTCCTTTTAACACTGCATGGTATCCTGCTGTGTGGTCTTGCCGGTGTTTTGAGAGCCAGCTCCTTGTTGATACCTATCTATTACACGTATTTGTATTTGTGTAGGGGTGCGGAATGTGGCACAGTGTGCTGGTAGGGATCAGTGGATAACTTGCGGATGGTTCTCTCCTTCCCCATGTGTGTCCTGGGTGGAACTCAGGTTGTCGGGCTTGGCTGTAATTGCCTTTACCTGCTGAGCCATCAGCTGGCATGAAGAGATAATTAACTTGTGTCCAGGCTTTTGTCATGACAAACAATGATGGGAAATTGGGCTCACATTGCTTGGCCCATGCATGAGGTCTGTAGGCTGCATTTCAAGAATTGGGGTTGCCATTCCCATGAAGTGTCAGGAGGCCCTGCAAGGTCCTGCCAGCGTATTTTGCCACCAGTTCCTTGGAATGAGAGGCCAAACTTGATAGGATAGGATTGTAGGGGAGGAAGGAGCATGCACCCTGAGTCAGGAGCACCCCATGAAGAAACAAAAGACAAATGCCCAACAGCTGGTGTTTGTAGACCAGTACAATCAATTTTATCAGCTACTCTGTTATGCAGTCATTTAAAGACTTACATAAACACCTAAAATAATTTTACTAATCTTATTTATTTTTATATTTTTTGTTTATTTTTATTTATGTGTATGAGTGTATTGCCTGCATGTGTGTAAATGCACCCATGTCATGCAGTGCCTGTGGAGGTCAGAAGAAGGCATCAGATTCCCCTGGAACTGGAGTTACGGACAGTTGTTAGCTGCCGTGTGGCTGCTAGGAATGAAACCCAGGTCTTCTGTAAGAGCAGCCAGTACTCTTAATGGCTGAATCATCTCTCCAGTCCCCAATCTTATTAATTAAGTAATTAATTAATTAGTCTATTTAATGATACATAGGTTGTGTCACATGCCAAGTGAGTGTTCTAACCACTGGCCTACATCCCCAGTCCTCTTTGGACTTTCAATTTTGAGACAGTCTTGTTAAGTTAACTAGGCAGGTACTGAACTTGCGGTCCCTCTCTTCAGCCTCCGAAGTAGCTGGGAGTATAGGCCTGCACTACCACACCTGGCCAATCTAAATCTTAATTACATGATAAATAAGAAAAAAAAAGTAAATTAAAAATCCTGAAAAATCTACATATCTTCATATGAGATGGAAAGCAGGCTCCATGTAGGCAAGGCATCTTCTCTTTTTTGCCAACTTTGGTATTTGTATGCCTTGCTAGTGAATCTTAGCAGTTCCATGTTGCTTTATAAAGTTGGGGGTTTCTTCTTGAAGAGGAAGTACATGGTTATGATTGCATTATTATGCTTTGGAGAGTGTGTGTGTGTTAATTATACATGGTACATGCACCCGAGTGTGGGGGCCAGCAGGCCCATACATGCACATGCTGCTCTCTGCCTTGCTGTCCTAAGACGGATCTCTCGTTGAAGCTGAAGTTTGCTGCTCTTAAGCTGCCAGGCCAGTGAGCTTCTAGGACCTGCCTGTCTCTACCTGGCAGCGCTGGTGTTACAGGCATGTACAGCCCTGCCTGGCTATTGTTTTGTTTTTAACATGGGTGCTGGGGACTCAGACTGGCATCCTCTTGCTTGCACAGCAAGTGCTCTTGCCCACTCAGCCGCCTCCTTAGCTCCTGTGTTTGTTCTTTTATTTCCTTGAAGAGGTCTGCTTTTGTTTGTTTTTTCCTCCAGTTTTGGCCTCTGCACAGCCAGTATCCTTATCAGGTCTCTGGATGTCTTTTTCAGGTAAACCAACAAGAAAAAAGAACTAGAGAAGAAGGTGGAGACTTGTATTACCACCATCCACCATCATGCAGCGTAGTATCATGTAAGCACCTCCCCCTACCTCCCAGACACTCTGCTGTGTGACTTTTTCTGGGGAAATGGGAGCAGACCTCCATTCACCACATATAAGGCACCAGTGATGATTGGCCAAAGAAACAGTTGTACCCATGTCTAGCTTAGTGAGCCAGTGAGTTTACTGGGGTCACGTACAGGAACGTGGTGACTTGGGGGCAGCTGAATCACTTCTTGAGCTCCCAGAACCTTGTTTCTTTAGCTTCCTGATTCTTATAAGCCTCTTTCCCTCCAGGATGGGATGCTTGGATTTGAAGATCTCGACATCCTATGTTCTCTAAGTCCATGCTGTTTGCATCATAGCATTGCCTTTTCTTAGAAGAACTTAAGCTAGACTTCAAGTTGGAATTTCCAAGAGTTTAGTAGTCTGGAAAGTGGGAGATGGGAGATGGGCCATGAATTAATTTTTTGTGTTTTGTTGTTTAGGCTGCAGGGTATAGATATCTAACACACTGGTTCTCAGTCAGTATTTTTTCTTCCTAGGAGCATCTGGCAGTGTCCAGAGACATTTTTGGTTCTGACGGTTTAGGGGCATTGGATCTGCTCTTGATACCTACTGGACAAAAGTTAGGATGCTGCCTCAGTGCACAGGACCCTCCTTCACGGGCCACAATAGAGAAAAGTCCAGCCTCAGTGTCAGCACAGAAACCCCATACCAATGCGAGGTGGTCTTAAAAAAAAGAAAGGGGAGCACCTGGCTTCCATTGTTCCCTCGGGGAACTTGAGGCTTAGGCGGTCCCAGCTCCAAAAACGTTGTGGTCTCTGTCTCTCCTTGGTCAGCTCTGTTGCCTTTGATGATGTTACTCTCAGGCCGACTTCCTCAAGATTAGCACTACCAGCAGAGAGGGTGCCTCTGCCCTTCTTGTCCCAGAGATATAGTCTAAGGCTTCAGCTTAGGCTACATGCTTGTCCCCAAGCTAGTCATGGTGGCCACTAGTGTGCAGTGCAGTGCACTGATTGGCCAGGCCTGGGTCATGTGTCCATGCATAGTCATAGCATGAGTACAGGCCACTCAAGATATGGGTACTGAGAATTCTGGGGGAAGAGGCATCTGAAGAGGAAATGGGTTGGGGGCATTAGAGGAAGGAGGGGGTGGATGCTAGGCAGACCCAGACCTGGACATCCACCCTAGAAACCTGAGATAAACTGATCCCAGGTTGCCTTCATGTGAGTAGAAGCCGGGTGTGGTCTCTACCTAATGGCAGTACGTCCCTTCGGCCACCTTCTGTTCTCTTCTTTCTCTCTTTTCTTGTCCTTTTCCCCTTTTATTTGCAGTGGCTGGGTTGGGACCCAGGGCCTTTGCTCATGCTAGGCAAGCTCTGTAGCACTAAGCCATATCCCTGGCCTTCTTAAGGTTATAAAAAGGTAGAGCAGCCTGTAGGGCTGGGAAAGGGTGTCAGCTGCAGGTGTGGCATGGGAGGGAGGGGCTTTCATGCTATTCATGTCTCTTACCCACTTGTGCTCCTCCAGGTCATTTTTTCAACCTTCAAAAGAGGGTAAAGCAAAGAAGCTGGAAAAGGAGACCCCCAAGAACACCAGAGAGAAGGAGCCCCCTCCAAAGTATGTAAGGGGGCCAGGGCACGGCGTATGCCTTCAGCAATTCTGGATTGCATTGTGTGACAAACCTAATACTAGGAGTTTTTAAAATTTGGATAGTTGAAAGCTCAGCTTCAGGCATAGCTGGATCCAGAACTCAGAGCTGTCAGGGCTGTTTTCACATGCCTTGGATTCATTCTAAACCAGACTCTGTCCAGGAGGTAGAGAAGCTGGTCATGTCTTGACTTCACACATCTCGGGGAGAAATTGTGTGACCTTGCTTGTGTATCATGATCACTCTTGGGCCAGAGTGAGGATGTGAACACATTTAGTTCATATCCCTGAATTAGGGTGTTGAACAAGAGTCCTCACTTCCTGTGTCCCAGCTTCCTCACGGGTAACAATGGACCTAATATCCATAAGACATCCTGCATGGGTCAGTGAGTAAGCAGATGGACCGTGGGTATCCCACTCCTTCAGAAAAGGCACTCTGCACACGTAGGAATCAAGTCATATTTTTTTCCCCCAACACTTTCAATTTTGCGATCAGTCACTATCATGTGCAGTGGTCTATGCAGATGCATGTGATGTTTTATTTCCTATGATTTACTTAATTTAAAAAGTTAAGTCATGTCACATATATTAAGTGCATTTGCTCTTCAATTTGTTGCTTCTGTTAAAATTGTGACTTGGAGATTTTTTCCTACTGTGCAGCTCTGGGGTCTGGTTCTTTTACCTTCCATGCTGTATTCCATTCTTCAAATATACTACAGAAGTTAGCATTCCCCTTTTGGTGAATATGGAGGCTGTTTCCACTTTGTGGATCTAACAGTCCCATGCTAGTGTATATTATGTCTTTGGCCATGTATGCAGATGTTGTTTGTCTAACACAGATCTCCATATGTGATACTATACATGTTAATTGTTTAAAAAAAAATAGAGAAAGAAGGTAAAAATTTGACCTCAGAGCTGGGATGATGGCTCAGTGGTTAAGAGTGCATACTGCTCTCGAAGTGGACCCAGAGGACCTGAGTTCAGTTCCCTGCACCTTTGTCTGGCAGCTCTCAGTTGCCTGTAACTCCAGCTCCAGGGGGATCCAATACTTCTGGCTTAGGAGACATAAATGGTAAAAATAAACCTAAATAAATACTTAATAAATACATATTTCCTTCCCAGAGGAAATAGGTCTCCAGTTTGAGGTGCACACAACAAACATGTTTACCAGCATGATAGATGTTCAGTAAACACCTGATGGATGAATAAGAATCTCATGGTATACAACAGGGCCTGCCTGCTTGGTCACTACTAAATCTCAAGTGGCTGGCATGATGCCTGACATTGATAATGACAAACATCTTTAACTTACTTTGAAATAACTAAAGCAGTCTTGGCTAAAAGTCAAAATGTCCTTGGGACTGTTAGCAGCATACTCTGTTCCAAGGCCAAAAATGTCAAAAGTATTTGGGAGCTTGTATCTAATCCTTAAAAGATTTTAGTGTTACCTCTTCAGAGGGGGGAATGTTGGAGGGGAGGGAGTGGACATGGATTTGATCAAAACACCTTATATGCATGTATGAAATTCTCAATAAAGTTTTTGTAAAAATTGAAAAAAAAGAAATAACTAAAGCAAAACTTCTATATGCAAATTGCTTGTATATACAGATTTAAAAAAAAAAAAAAAACTTTCAAGGGATTATATATGCACATCTACTCAGAAACAGCTGGCAGTATCTTCTGTGTGCCAGACACTGTTCTAGACCCTCTGGGTTTTGAGGTGAATCGTGTAGACAGCCATTCCTCTCCTCTCCAAAAAGGCCACGGAACTTTCTATGGTGCTGCACACTAAGATTTTTTTCCTCTTTGTAAAAAAGTTCCATAGGATCAGTGTCTGTCACCAGGAAGTAGGGGGTTGCTGGTGTTCATGCTGGCCTCTGTTAACAGATCATGAGCTTGCCGAGGGCAGGATCCTGTAGGCATTAGCCGAACTCAGCCACTGAGTGACTATCAGCATGCATGTTGCCCTGCCTGTGTCCCTATAAGCTGCAGAGTCACAACTGGCATCCAAGGAGGAGTTGTGCTGCTTTTACACCGACTTACAATAGAAGTCTCCCTTTCCTTGTGTAAGACTCTAGACTGTTGGGCTCTCGAGGCAGTTCAGGGAGGCTGTGGCTCTACCACCAAGTTTTCCTGGAGTAATACTGTGTGCTGGCCTTAGCTGCATTGTTAGAGTGAATTTTTGCATCAGTTCCAGGAGTCTGACAGTGTGGAGAACTGGGACTTGGGGGCAAGTTACATGCATCCATTGTGCTGCCCATATTCTGTGGATCAGAGCTCCCTGCAAGGGAGGCTCGGGAGTGCAGTCTGCCTGGAGGACTGTACCTTGCTGAAACTCCTGTGTCTAAGAGAGGTCTCCACATGGATGTTAGTGTCCAGCCCTGTCTGGTTCCTGCCAGGGAATCTACCTACTCTTCATGACATGTCACAGAGTGTTATTTGGGAGACCTCAGACATGGGATGGAGGGAGGAAGGAAGGGAGGCTTAAGTGCTCATATCAAAGCCAAACGTGGTGGACACACTGTAATCCCAGTACTTGTGGAGCGGAGGCAGGGGGATCAGGAGTTCAAGGCCAGTCTCTCAGATTTGCTCAGTTTCAGACCAGCCTTAGCTACATAAGACTGTCTCCAAAAAAACCAAATTAAATAAAAAGCATTAGAAATTTTTCATTGAAAGACAAAAGAAAGGAATGAAGTGTTGAGTGTTTGGGGTGGTGTTCCCATCCCACTTGTCCTGAGCCTCACATCTCCCTCCTTCCAGGGTGGCACTGAAGGAGAGGAATGGAGTGGTACCTGAGAGTGACTCTCCAGTGAAGAGGCCAGGGAGGAAGGTGGCCCAGGTCCTCAGCAGCGAAGGGGAGGAAGAAGATGAAGCCCTTGCCACCCCCAAAGGCCAGGTAAGTCCCCACTAGTCTGCTTATATTAAAATGTTATTTAATTGTTACTGTGAATGTGTGATGACATATGCCATGGTGCGGGTGTGGAGGTGGTTTTCTTCTCCTTCTTTTACCTGGGCTCTGGGACTTGAACTGGGGTCACCAGGCTATTGCTACAATCACCTTTACACACCGAGCCATCTTGCCAGCCACTAGCCTCCAGTTTTCATCAGAGGAAATAGGCTCCTACTCAGCCACACAGCGGGCTTGTAGTAACAAGCTCCGTGGCTGTGCCCTGAAGCAGGAGGGCTGGCGTACAGGTTCCCAGCTGTGCCTCTGTTCTGGGATGCCGGCTCATCTGGTACCTTGATGTCCTTATGCTTCAGGTGCCTCACTGATAACATCCCTCCTGGTACTGAATACCGAACAAAGTGTCTCGTAAGATGAAGTGAGTCAGTACTATAGATCTGAGAGTTCTGCCTGGTCAGTATGCATGCTTGTGAAAATGCCCAGTGTCCTGTGGTCATAAGATTTTTCTTCTCCAAATACATTGAGTCAGCTGGGCATAGTTGTGCACTCCTAAAATCCCAGCACTTATCCAGGAGACAGAGGCAGGGCTGTGAATTTGAGGCCAGCTTCATTTACATAGCAAATTCCAGGCCAGCATGTGAGACTGTCTCAAAAACAAAAACAAAACACAAATACATTGGGTCACTCTGGTGGGGTGTCCTGTGGACATTGTCTGAAAGAACAGGCCTATCAGACTCCAGTGAGAAGTTCAGCTCCTGACAGATCCTCCAGGGTCCCTGTTCAGATCCCCCAGGGTTGCCAACTCAGCCCAAAGCCAGTCCTAGTAGAGACCCCCAGACTTGTGATCTTTCTGATTTCCACCTCCTGCTGCGTCTCCACCTTCCATGCCTCTGCAGCTCTCTGCCAGCCAGTTTCTCACCCTGCCCCCAGTGGGCTCCATCTCCTGGCTGCTGCCTCTTCTCAGTGCCAGGGACTCTTTGCAACCAGGTATGGTACATGCCTGTAATCCCAGCACTTGAAAGGCTGAAGTAGGAAGAATACTGTGAGTTTGAGGCTAGCCTGGGCTACGTAATGAGGCCTTGTCTCAGGAAAAAAATCCCCGCCTATTTGTCATGCACACACAGCCTTATCCCTGCCTTGCTTCAGGGCTGATGTCTCTTCTTAGTGACGCTTCCCTGACCATGGGTGTTTGTTTCCCATCATCCTATAGTTCTGCAGGTCAGGCATCTGGCATGGGTTATCTCAGGGTGTGAGCAGGGCCATTTGTTTCTAGAGGCTCTAGGGACAATGTTGTTTGCAGCTTCTAGAAGCCCCTGTTTCTCCATCTGCTGAGCCATACTTATGGCCTCTGTGCTTTCTGTGGTCACATTTCCTGTGACTATCCTCTCTTTTCTACTCAATTTTTTTTATGCTTACTGATTATGCACGTGCGTTTTGTGTGTGTGTGTGTGTGTGTGTGTGTGTGTGTGTGTGTGTGTATGCACACATGGAGGTCACAGTGCAGTTTGCAGGAGTTCATTTTCTTGTTCCACCCTGTGAAAGCTGAGCTGCAAGGGAGGCTGAAAAATGCACTCCTTGGTCCCATGACGGCACAGACTGCAGGGGCAGCTGTGAAATACAGTCCTTTAGCCTGTGACCACACAACTGCAAAGAATTCTGGTGAATGTGGTTCTCAGGCCCGTAACTGCTTGCTACGAGGAAGATTAAGAGAGATAGCCTTTAGTTGATCCACTACATGTGTCGCTGAAAATGGAAGACTGTTACTTTAAAGAATAGTTAATATTGGGGTCAGCAGTGGAGTTGAATGTGGGACACTGCAAGTGTGTTAGCAGATGGAGTGATCACCTCAGTAAGAGAAGACAGCATGGATGATGGGGAAGAGACTGAGGAACCAGAAATGAAGGCAGACACAGAGAGGCTCAGCATCTGTTCTGCAGTGTGTAGGATCTGTGATTTCCAGGTGATGCATGCTTGACCTGTTCTTTCTGCCTCTTTCCAGAAACTTCTTTCAGACTCTTCCCCCAGCCCTGACACATGTCCTGAGAACAGCCCTTTCCTTGCCAGCAGTCCTCCCATGGATGTGTCCCCATCAGGGTTCCCGAAGCGTCGCACAGGTAAGGACATCCCAGCCCCTGCCCTTGCGTCTGCATCTGCCTTCTCCCCATGGTGGCCTTCCTGATTATAGCGTGGTGGTGAACATGGTTGCACTGTCCATCATCGTGTGACCTGAGACCAAGGAAGGACTTAATGTTTTCAGAGGTGTGGTTACTTGACCTAGTTGGTCCTAATAACAGTGCCAGGCTGGTAAAGTTGATTCATGTGATGTACTTAGGCCTGACTTTGCCCACAGTCAGCGCTCAGCACATGTTGTTGATTGTGATTGCTATGTGGGATGATGGTGGCTCCATAAGTTAGGGTAGAAATACAAGGGTGTAGGCATGGAGACTTCTAGAAGAGAAGCTAACCAAGCTGACCCCTAAGGGACAAAGAAGAGCCAGGTGGGAAAGGAGGAAGGAAGAGAGTTCCAGGCAGTGGGATGAATGAGGTGGGAACATCTGGTTTGGAGTCCTGGCACAGAGAGCATAGGGGTTGGGACACCCAGTGAAGAGGCTGGAGAAGGTCCTAGAAAGGCAGCCTGATGAGACGGGATGTCCACGGGGAGGCAGAAGATTTGCTAAAGGAAAGGGCCAGGTGAGAGACCCTTCTGTGACCTTGGCAGCAGTGAGCCTGCTCAGACCGCATTGTGGTAGCTGAGACTGAAATGGATTTGTAATGTTGCCTATTTTAATCCGATTGACATAGGGAAACCAGTGCATGGTCAGCATCCCTGATCCAAAATCCTAGATCTGAAAAACTCTATCAGTTCAGCCAGTGAAGGCTCTGCAGATACTCTAAAATTGAAAGCCAAACTGAAATATCTCTGGATCCAAGCATTTGATACAAGGGGTGCTCCATCAGAACTGAATTCAGCAAGGGAAAACTTTTCTGTGCATAGCTTATATATGGAATCTACTTTCTAACTGTCTGCTTTATAAAACCTAAGCACAGATCAGGTATTTCTGATTAAAAACTTGTCTGAATTGACATGTACACTCAGCATGTCAGATTTGAAGACTTTGTGCATTAGTTTCTTCTTTTTTTAAAAAATCTTCCTCATTACTGTGATAAAATGCCTGCCAACAGCAGCTTGAAGTAGGGTTTCTTTTGGCTCACAGTCTGATAGTGTAGGCCATCATGGTAGGGAAGGCCTGGCCAGGAGTGTGAAGTGGCCGGTCACATTATAACCACAGTCAGGAAGCAGAGAGATGGATGCTGGTGCTCAGCTGGCTTTCTCCTGTTTTTATGTTTATTCATCCCCAGACCCTAGTTCAGTGTAAATCTTCCTTCAATTAAAACTCACCAGAAATGCCTTCACAGGCATAGAGGTGTGTCTCTGAGGCAGTTCCAAAGCTAGTCAAGTTGACAATAGGATGACTAAGCATCAAAAAGAATGTTGACAATTTAATATTGGAAACATGTCAGGATCATAACCTAGATGTATTGAGTTTAGGAAAAATGTATGAACCTAAAGCTAGAGTCACCCGTTTTGCTTTTTTCTTAAAGTTTAAGATTATATATGTGGAGGCTTTTGTGGCTCATGGGGTACTCACAGAGCTCAGAAGCTGGCCATCCATGGTTGATAGGGTAGGCCTGGCTGTCTGGAGAGAAGGCAGATGGAGAGTGTCCCAGATAGGAGCCACATGTGCAAAGCCCCTGAGGTGGATAGCATGTGTGGACATTCTCAGATACTTCAGTGTTCCTTAACTTACTGTGGTTTGAGGGGCAGAGAGAGAGCTTGCGGAGGTGTGTGGTAATGCTTGGGCTAGAGAGGGGAGGTGGGGCAGAATCCTCAAGGGCCTTACGAACCGGACTGAGCATGCCCAACACATTTTTCAGTGTTTACTTGGGATGATTTCCATTCTCAAAACCCAGGAGAGGGAGGTACAAAGAGATTAAGTTTCTCGAGGTCCTACTGCCAGGGCTTGAAGAATGATGTCTACACCAGGGTAGGAACCACAAGCAGGTACAGAAGAGGAGGGGGATCCAGAACCTTCTTAGTAACACCCCTCTCCCCATGGGTCTGACCTTGTGGGGTTGGGTGGGAATTGGGTCGGGGAGGAGCAGACAGACTACAGGACAGCCACACTGAGTGAGCCCTTTGCCTTTCCAGCTCGGAAGCAGCTGTCAAAACGGACAAATCAGGATGTTTTGAAAGATCAGAAAGAGGACAAAGACAGAGAAGCCAAGAAGAGGAAGACGGAAGGTGAGGGACAAGGGCGGGAGGCCTGTGTGTGTGTCTGTGTGTCTGTATATGTATCTGCCGGAGTGGGGACTTGGAAGGAGACAGGAGGACTACAAGATCTGATCTCTAAACATGTTAGTCTGAATTCCTCACTCAAGCTCAAGCATGGTAGTTTATGCCTTAATCACAACAGTCAGGGGGCTGAGGCAAGAGGATCACTACCAGTTTGAGGCCAGCCTGGCCTATATTATATAGTGAGACTCTGTCTCAGTCAGTCAGTCAGTCAGTCAGTCAGTCAGTCAATCAATCAGTAAGTATTCTGTGTCTGAATATGGAGGAGCTCTGGAGAGGAAAGCCTTTTGAAACACATTTGTCCTTCTAAATTCAATATTAGTCATATATAGTTTCCTGTTTTTAAGCTTGTATTTATTTAATGGAAAATATTTTCCTTTAGATGATTTACTTTTCCTTATAAATTTTATCACAAAACAGAAGTTCCCAAATTCTCTTGGTTCAAAGTACCATTGATGTTTTAGTAAATTGTTTCATTATACCCCTAAATCAATAGATTTCCATTTATTAAGTTACTGTGTTTAAAGAAGCATTAAATGATATACATATTTTGAAAGAAAAAATATTTCTAATTTTATTGTTAACCACAATTACTAATGGGCTGTAACTAATTAACAATATCTCAGACTGGAGTCCCACAAGAAGCTGCCCCCTTTATTTCCTGTTTCCCGTGGATTTGTGCACTCTACCTGATTTTTATGACAGACAGTGAAGATGCGACTCATTGGGAGGAATGTATGGAACAATCCCTGAGGATCTGAGGTGATCTGTTCCAGATTCCTCCCTGATAACAAAATCTGCAGATGTGTAAGTCCCCCTTACACATTTTGCAGACAATGTATGCATGCCTTATTTTTTTTTCACTCATTTCCAGATAACTTACAATACCTAATGAAATGCAAATTCTGTGAAATGACAATAAGAAAAAAGTCTATATGTGTTCAGTAAAGACTAGTTTTTTTCTCAAGGTTTTTTTTTTAAAAAAATATTTTATTTTATTTTATGTATATTTGTGTATTGCCTGCATGTATGTGAGTGCACCCATGTTGTTCAGTGACGCAGAGGTCAGAAGAGGGCTTCAGATTCTCCTGGAACTGGAGTTAGGAACAGTTGGTAGCTGCCATGTGGGTACTGGGAATTGAACCGGGTCCTCTGCAGGAGCAGTCAGTGCTCTTAACCACTGAGCCATCTCTTCAGCCCAGTTTTTTTTTTTTTTTTTTGGTCTTTTTGAGACAGAGTCTCCCTGTAGCCCCAGCTGTCCTGGAACTCACTATGTAGACCAGGCTGGCCATGAACTCACAGAGATCCGTCTGTCTCTGCCTCCCAAGTGCTGGGATTAAAGGTGTGCGCTACCACGCCCGGCCCAGTTGTTTTGAATTTGTTCATTGTATGTATGTGTGTGTGCCCAAATATATGTATGTGCACCAGGTGCATGCAGTGCTCATGGAGGCCTGAAAAGGGCATCAGATCCCCTGGAACTGGAATTATAGGCCATATGAATCACCTGGTATGGCTGTTGGGACCTGAACCGTGGTACCCTGCATGAGCAGTACATGCTATCTCTCTAGCCCCACCTTTAGTTTTTGTCACACGGTCTTGCTGTATAGCCCAAGGCTGGTCTCGTAACGCTCAGTTCTCCTGCCTCAGCCTCCCAAAGGCTGGTATTGCAGGTGTTTGCCACCACACCTGAAAGTTGTCAGACATTTTGCCAGGGATGTGGATGGAACTCCTTAGTACTCTGGGACAAAAATTGGAAAGTAATTTCCTCAGCTAGTAGTTCATGTTTTGTCCAGCAGATAGCACCATGTTTCCTTAGTGAATGTAAAATACCTCCAGCTGCTGAGAGAGGTCCCTTCATCTTGGTGCAGATGGAACCGTTGATCACTGGGGCCTATCTGCAGTTGCACAGGTTGTAGCCACAGGATAAGCCTCAGCCAGGTTCTTATCTATTTGATAAGTCTTTATTAGGCTCGGTTTCCCCTAGCAGGTTTAAACTTGGTGGAGATGTGGTTTCCTATTGACAATTTGTAGTCAGTAACAAATTTCACTGTGAACTGGACAATTTTAACCACTAAGTATCTAGAATTGGAAGAGGTGAAAAGAATATCTTTCTACTAAGGCAGTTTTTTTCCCAAGTTAGTGTTTGTACTTTTATGGTTACTCTGGTTGGCTTTGGGTTATAATGAAACAGGCACTGTGAACCAAGAAACCTTGGGACTCTCTGCTTTCAGTATGTTTTGTAAATTAAAAACAAAAAATTTAGGTACTAGAGGTTGAACCCAGGGCCTTGCAGAGATAGGCAAGTGCTCAATTACTGAGCTACATCCTCAACTTTGTTTTTTAACTTTTTATTTTGAGACGGTCTCATGAAGCTGCCCAGGCTGACACTTGAACTTATGCTGTAGCACAGGCAGGCTTTGAATTTGGGATCCTCCTGCTTCATCCTCCAGAGTAGCTGGAATTACAGGCCTGCGCCATCACCCCTCACTGCTGTCTGACTTTTCTCTCTGTCATCAGAAACAGAGACCCCAAGGGAAAACCTCACAGAGGCCAAAGAGGTAAAACAGAAGGACGATGAGGGCGACCAAGCCACACCAGGCTCTGAGCCTACAACACCACCTAAGACCCCAAAGACCCCCAGTGAGTCTTCCTGATGCCCCACCTCAGCCCCCACGATTATGTCCCTGATTTGAGCATCAGTTATTTATGGAAGGTGGTTCATTTAAACAAGAGACAGATTCTCCAACTCGGTTTAAATGAGAGCTCCAGGGTAATCATGGGTTGTTGTTATTGGATTTGTTGTGCTCAACTACTGAACTACATCCCTAACTACCTCCCCATGCTTGTTGGAAAAGAAGAGAGAGTCCTCTAGCAAAGTGCTTTTAGACATTATAGGTGCCAGTCAAACACTCTTAACTGAAGAGTTGTTCATTAAGTGGGACATCGAAGCTCAGTTAGTAGATTCAGAGGTGGGAGTTGCCCCTCTGTGCCTTGGTGTCCCTGAGACCCTGTGTCAGAGATGAGATTAACAAGGACGTATAGTTATATATGCTTTTCTGCAACTGCAGAAAAAGTTGGGATGCTTTGCACTAATTGTACTGAGACTGTAGTTATCTTTCTTTGAGGCTGGCAGTGGAACCCAGGGTGGCACCTGCTAGGTAAATGTTAACACTGAGTCTGACCGCCTGCTGTATGTCTGAGCTCATGGGGACAGGAGAACACAGACCAGAGGTCAGCCCTATTCAGCCCTTTGCCTTCCCAGTTCGGAAGCAGCTCCTGAAACGGATGAATCGGGATGTTCTGGAAGAGCAGAAAGAGGAAAAGGACAGAGGAACCAAGAAAAGGAAGAAGGAAGGTGAGCGAGTGGGAGGAGAGAGGGGTGTGCGCGCGCGTGTGTGTGTGTGTGTGTGTGTGTGTGTGTGTGTGTGTGTGTGTGTGTGTGTGTGTATGTGTGATGCCCAGTGGGGACCTGGAAGGGTATTGGAGGAATATGAGACCTTTAGACTACAGATCTGATTTTTAAACTTGTAAGTTGAAATTTCACACTCAGGAGCCAACATGGTAGTTTATGCCCATAATCAATCACAGCAGTCAGGAGGATGAGGCAGCAGGATCACTGCCAGTCTGAGGCCAGCTTGGTTTGCATAGCAAGACCCTATCTCAATAAACAAATACATTATAAAAAGCATTCATGACCAGAGCTCCATTCTAATTCAGTATTAATCATACAGAGTTTCCTGTTTTTATTTTTCTTTATGAAGTTTACCAAAGCAGAGATCCTCAAACTTTCTTGGTCCACAGTGCCTGTTTCATTGTACCCCAAAACCAATAGATTGAGAATTCCATTTATTAAGTCATTGTGTTTAAACAACTGTTAAATGATACACATACTTTAAAAGGAAAAAAAAAATTACATTTCTAATTTTATTCTTAACCATGATTACTAATGGGGTACACCTTAAGTAACTAACTCACAACATCTCAGACCACGGACTGCAGCAAGAAGCTGGCCCCTTTATTTCCTGTGCCACACTGATTTGTGAATCTTTTTCTGACCACAGACAGTAAAGATGGGGTCATTGTGAGCACAGTTGTCCTTGAGGATCACTTGGGGACCCATTCCAGAGCTTCCTCCCCCAGGCACCCAGATGTGCAGGTGCTCAAGTCCCTTACATAAAATCACATCATCTTTGTAGACAGTGTTCACATGGCCTCTTAAATTTTCACTCATCTCTAGATAAGTTGTAATACCTAATGTAGTACACATTTTATGTTGTTACATGGTGCTGATTCAGAAGATGAGGTGATGCTGTTTTTGTTGTTGTTTTGTTGTGTTGTGCCCTTTTGGGACAGGGTCTCACAGAGATCCATCAGCTTTTACCTCCCCAGTACTGGGCTTAAAGGCATGCACCACCCTGCCCGGCTGCCCTCACGTTTTTTGAGACAAGGTCTTGCTCTGTAGCCCAAGCTGGTCTCTAAACTCAGTCCTCCTGCCTCAGCCTCCTACATGCTGGATTGCAGGTATTCACCATGCTCAGTGGTTCACAAACATTTTTCATTGGTGGTAAGTTAATCCAAGGATGTGGATGGAATTCCCTAATACTCTGGGACAACTGGAAACTAATTTCCTCAGCTCGTAGTTCATGTATTGTTCAGCAGATGACGCCATGCTCCTTAGATAATGCAAAATGCCTTCTTCCAGCTGCTGAAAGGATTCCCTTCATGTTGGTGCAGTGCATGCAGGCAGACAGCCATAAAGATGGACCCATGGATCATCGGGGCCTGTCTGCCATTCTGCCAGTGGCAACCTTTGCCACAGCCAGGTTCTTAGTTACTTGATAAGGAAAGTCTTCATTGGCCTCAGGTTCCCACGGCAGGTTTGAATTTGGTGGAGTCTTGATTTCCTATTGACAGTTTATAGTCAGTAACAAATTTCACTGTGACCTAGAGAGTTTTAACTATGGTTCTCAACACTGAACTCAGGGCCCTGCACAAGCTAGGCACATCCTCAGCCATTGAGCTACATCTTCAGTGTTTTGGTTTTAACGGGTATCGTAAAGTTATTCAGGCTTTGAAACACGGTGCCCCTGCCTCAGCCTCCCTAGTAAGTGGGAGTGCCACAACGCTTCACTGTTGTCTAATTTTCCTGTCTGTTATCAGAAGCAGAGATTCCAAGCCTTACAGAGACCAAAGAGGCAAAACAGAAGGAAGAAGAGGAGGGGGACAAGCCCACGACACCACCCGAGACCCTAAAGACCCCCAGTGAGTTTCTGACATCCCCCCCCTCCGTATTAGTCACTTTTCTGTTGCTGTGATAGAAACACTGACCCAAGCAACTTATAGAAGGAAGAGTTTATTTGACCTTACGGTTCCAGGGGAATTACAGTCCATCATGGCAGGGAGACATGGTGGCTGGAGGTGGCTGGACCAGAAGCAGCAGAAGCTAAGCTCTCACATCATCATGCAGGCACAGGAAGCAAGAGAGCAACTGGAGATCTGGCAAGGTTTAAGAACTCTCTAAGTCCACCCCCAGTGATGTGCTTCCTCCAGGATGACCACACCTTCTAAAACCTCCCAAAACAGCACCACCATGTGGGGACAAAATGTCCAAATACTTGGAGCCTGTGGGGGACATTTTCATTCAAACCATCACATTCCACCCTCTGGCCCCCAATAGGCTCCTGACCATATAAAATGCAAAATGCATTTAGTCCAACTTTAAAAGTCCCCATAGTCATTATCAGCCTCAATACTATTCAAGTCCACAGTCCAAAGTCTATTCTGAGACTCACATAAATATCTGAACTGTAAGCCTCTATAAAATGAAAAGACAAATGACATACTCCCAACATAGAGTGGAACTGAATACACATTACCATTCCAAAATGGAGGACTGGAGGAATAGTAAGGAAATACTGGACCAAAACAAGACCGAAAACCAGCAGGGCAAACACCAAATCCAGTAGCTCCATGTCCAAGTCCTGGGACTTTATTTCCAAAGGGCTTAGATGACTCAGCCTCTCCAGCTTTGCTGTGTGCAACACACATCTCTCTCTTAGGCTGGTACTACTCCCTGTATGCAGGTCTTCTTGGCAGATGCCTCACAGCTCTGGCATCCCGAACGTTTTGGGGTCTCCATTGCCAACCAGGCTTCAGCTTCACAGCTTCAGGCAGTGGCCTCTCAGGGCCTTCTCTAGGCAGGGGCACTCCTGCTTCACGCTGCCTGGCCTCTGAGGCTCTCTGAAACTCTGGAGGAAGAACTGATGACCCTTCACTCTTCCATCTTTCATGCTTCTAAAGCCAGCACCAGGTGAAGGACACTGCCAAGTTTGACTGCCAGTTTGGGGTGGACTCCCCTGCTTTATCCAGTTTAGAAGCTTTTCTCTTCAGTGTCCTCTGCAGCATTTTTCTTTCACAAGTTGGAGGCTTAGCTGGGTGTGGTCTTGCCCTGGAGGCACTCTCTCCATTGTTTGAGTTTGAATCTCTAGGCTCCTCCTTAATCACTTTAATCTCCTTATCAATGGGATCCTCTCCATCACATGCCAGGGCTCCAACATTTATCTTTCTAGTGCTTTTTCAATCCAAACTGTATTTCTTTCTGCCCCATTTGTGCTCTTTCACTGTAGATCTGCATAATATTCACCACTAATAGCCACACCACCATTTCTACATTAGGCTTGTTGGGGTTTGAGGGCTCAGGAATAGTTAGTAGTATTTATTAAAAAAAAATCCAATTAATATAGCATCTAGTCGGGTGCAGACTCCAACCAGCCAAAATGGAACCTGCCTTGTGTCATGCTCGAGCACGGGCTCCCAGAGTCAGTTGAGACCGAGAGAGCCCCAAGTCTGGGTTGGGTATGCCTTTTATAGGGGGGTTTCACAGAAGCCCGCATGCGCCAAGCATCTTTCAAAATGATTGGATGGCTTCATGCTCTGGGTTTGGGGAAGTTTCTCATTGGTAGGGGCTGTCTTCAGGGCATTGGAATGTGCTGACCATTATCTGTGAGGCCAGGAGTTTCTGTTTTTACCTTATAAGGCTGCTATATGTCCAGGCTTGTTTGATCTATAGCTTCTTAGGATGGGAGTGGTGACTGAAGATTACTACCTGCCTGGGCATGTCCGGGCTTGCCTAGTCCTTACCTTCAGTTTGGGGCAAGGGAAGTTTACAGTTTCTAAGACTAGGGGCTTGTGACTGGGAAAAGGCAGTTTTGTGAGAACCGGGTCAGCACCACTTGGGCCCTTCAGCTGTCTTGAAAACTTCTTCCACCAGAGAAATCAGTCCACGGCTTTTCAGCTTAGCCTCAGGCAAGCTTTTTGGTTGTGGGCAGACTCCAGCCAGACTCTTTGCCAAAATATCCCAATTGCTGCTTAAGTCCTTATTTCCCTCTGGAACTATATTGTTCTCAGCACTACTTTCTTCCAGGCCCCTACTACTGGCCTGTTAAACTCTGCTTAAAGCAATCAACCACTTTTCTAGCCCAGTCTTCCAAAGTCTTCCACATTCCTCCAAAACCCCACATGGTCAAGTTCTTCACAGCCAACAGCCCACTCTCTGGTACCAATTACTGTATTAGTCACTTTTCTGTTGCTGTGATAGAAACACTGACCCAAGCAACTTATAGAAGGAAGAGTTTATTTGAGCTTACGGTTCCAGGGGAATTACAGTCTGTCATGGCAGGGAGACATGGTGGCTGGAGGTGGCTGGACCAGGAGCAGCAGAAGCTAAGCTCTCACATCATCATGCAGGCACAGGAAGCAAGAGAACAACTGGAGATCTGGCACGGCATGGTTTAAGAACTTCTAAGTCCACCCCCTAGTGACCTGCTTCCTCCAGGATAGCCATACCTTCTAAAACCTCCCAAAACAGCACTACCATATGGGGACAAAATGTCCAAATACTTGGAGCCTGTGGGGGACATTTTCATTCCAACCATCACACCCCCTACCCTACTCCCTCCCCCAGCCCCATGACTCTTAGGCATCAGTTATCTACAGAGGGTGGTTCATTTAATTAAGACACAGATTCTCTAACTTGGGTTAAATGTGAGCTCTAGGGTAATCAAGCTTTGTTGTTACTGTTGGGTTTATTGTTTGTTTTACCCGGTGTATGTGAGAAAAGAGCAGATTTCTCCAGTAAAGTGCTCTTAGGTATTGTAGGTGCCAGTTGAACACTCTTAACTGAAGAGTTGTTCATTAAGTGGGACATCCAAGCTCAGTTACTAGATTAAGACGTGGGAGTCGTCCTAGCAGGTCAGGATGTACCCTCTGTGCCCTGGTGTCCCTGAGACCCTTGTGTCAGAGATGACGTTAACAAGGACAGCTATAGGCATGTAGTTATATATGCTTTTCTGCAACTGCAGGAAAAGTTGGGATGCTTTGCACTAATCATACTGAGACTTCAGTTATCTTTTCGTGAGGCTGGCAGTGGAACCCAGGGTGGCACCTGCTAGGCAAGTGTTTAACACTGAGCCATGCCCTTAGCCCCTCACTGGGGAATTCTTGGCAAATACTCTGCCACTGAGGCTCCACCCCTGTCCCTCTCTGGGGGATTCTAGGCAGGTGCTCTACCACTGAGCCACACCCCAGTCTGTCACTGGGGGATTCTAGGCAGGTGCTGTACCACTGAGCCAAACCCCAGCCCCTTGCTGGGGGATTCTAGGCAGGTGCTCTACCACTGAGCCACACCCCCAGTCTGTCACTGGGGGATTCTAGGCAGGTGCTGTACCACTGAGCCAAACCCCAGCCCCTTGCTGGGGGATTCTAGGCAGGTGCTCTACCACTGAGCCGCACCCCCAGGTCTGATGCTTTTGTTTGTGTTTGTTCCAAGATCTCACTATGTAGTCTAGGCTGGACTTATATTTTTGCAGCCTTCCTGCCTCAGTCTTCTGAGTAGCTGGGATTTCAAGCTGATTCTACCCATGTACACTTCTGGGGTTTTTTCTGACCACTATTTTAAATCTCCAGTCTTAGGCCTGGTGCCAAAAGTGCATTCATTAGCACTGATGAGTGAACATCAGGCTAGAGAGGCTCCACATTTATATTACAGGAGGGAAATGGTCAAATTTGGGTAGACTTCCCATTTATATGACACAGTGACCTTGGGGTTTTAGTCTAGAAGTAGAAACAGTTTGCATGACTGTCCTAGTTTGTCTCTCCATTGCTGTGACAAAACACTCTGACCACAACCAACTTGGGGAGGTAGGAGCTGGAGCACAGGCCATGAAGGAACTCTGCTTACTGACTTGCTCCCCGGCCCCTACTCAGCCTGCTTTTTTATACAACACAGGCCCACCTGCCCAGGGGTAGTACCACCCACAGTGGGCTGGGCCCTCCCACATCACTCATCAAGAAGATGCCCCTCAGACATGGCCACAGACCAGTCCAATAGAGGCAATTCCCCAACTGAAGCTCCCTGAACCCAGGTGTGTCACATTGACACTAAAGCTGTCCAGCACAATGACCTCCCCCTCTTACTACAGAAGCAGTGACCCTGGCAAAGAAAGAAAAGGTTCCAGTATCCAAGGCCAGCGGGAAACAGGAGCCTCAGGAAGAGGAGCAGAGCAAGCCTCCTGCCAGAGGGGCTCGGACGCTTAACAGCTTCTTTAGTGAGCACTTCACCCTCCTCGTCCCTGTGGGTTGCACAGGCAGCCGATAGCCAGGCTCTCTCCAGACATGCTGGGTAGACAAAGGATGGGGGTGGGGCCTTTGAGGAATGAGGACCACCACCCCCTGTCTCCTTTCTAGTCCCCCGGAAACCAGCAGCCAAGTCTGAAGTGAAACAAGAGGAGTCGAGTACTCCAAGGAAGGAGGAGACCAAGGGGTGAGTCTGGTGGAAAATAAGCAAAGGGGGAGTGGTCAGAGGGTGGACAGCAGGGCACAGGATCACTGCCCATGGGCCTGAATCAGTCCTGGCACTTAGTAGGTGCTCAGGAAGCTTTCCTTGAAGGAATGACTTCTCTGTCACTCAGTTGGTGTGTCTGTTGCCTCCACAGAGCCCTCAACCCAACAGGCTACAATCCTGCCAAGAACAACTATCATCCCATCGAAGATGCTTGCTGGAAAGTCGGCCAGAAGTGAGGCGTTATTCCTCCACACTGCCCTACTCTTATCCCGGTGTCTGTGGAAGCTGTCACCTGGGCCTGCATCAGGGGAGCTGTCACCATTTCCCTAGCCCCTGTTTTGAGGACTAGGCAGCCTGGGAAGGGGCAGAGGAGAGCTGCCTTTATGCATTTGGGTGTTGGCTAGGTTGTCCCCAGGGGGACAGTGTGAAGAGGCAGTGTGGGTGGAGCGGTTGGTTGTGAGTCCTATCCAGATGGTCTCACATTTGTTTTCCTTCCTAGGGTCCCTTTTCTCGCTGTGGCCCGGACATTTGAGAAGATTGAGGAGGTTTCTGCTCGGTAATAAATACTTGGGCCTAGGTACTCTGTGTCTCTGCCCTGAGTTTGGTGGCCTGTGCTGCGTCCTGCTGTGCAGTCCTTACTTCTTCCCATCATGGTCACTGTCCCTTCACAAGATGATTGAGTCTTCCTCAGGCACAACCTCACATCATGGTCACTGTCCCTTCACAAGATGATTGAGTCTTCCTCAGGCACAACCTCAGAAGACCCCCAGCATCATTTCTAATACTTCATTTCAAATGTTCTCTTCATCCAGACAGATCCAACCTGAGGCCCAAAGGCCACTGACAGTCCAGGATAGCCAGGAATGCAGCCTGACACGAAATCCTAAACTTTATACATCATGGGAATTGTTTTTCAACTTGATTGCACTCCATGAACTTTGCAGATTACCTTGTCTGTGTCAAAAGGTTGAACATGCCTGTGTAAGACACAAGGACTAGCCCAGATCTGCAGGGTTAGGACCGGATTCAAGAGCTACAGGAGTCAATTTAGTGACTTCAGTCTTGCTCCCACATCTCAGTGCTAGTTAATGGAAGCCCAGAATTGGTTACAGCAAGGATGGCCTGGATGTCCCCCTGCACAGCCTCTTCTAATGGTGCTGTGCATGGGTCTCAGCGCCAGGGCTGCCTGGAGCCTGCTCCTTGTTAGCAGTATTTCCACATAGGTGATCCCTACCTGGCCCCTTTCTTCCTCTGCCAGATTCTCTTCCCTTCTTGGTCTCCCCAGCCCCAGGGCTTCCTCCTTAGTGTCTAGTTCATATAAGTGGTATGGGCTTCACCTCATTCTGCTTCCTTCCTATCTTCTCACCTTGTTTCCCTGGCTCACCACATTGGTGTAAGTGATCCTAGTTATTTAAACGTTTCAGTGGTGTCCCTTCATTTTCATACATCATTTCACGCTGCCCCAATGCTTTGTTTTTTAATAAATGTTTCCTTGTGCATGTTTAAGAGCCTCCTCTGGGCTGCAAACTCCACAGTGAGGTGATGGAAGACATGGGAAGGACCTTGAGTACCAGGATCTGTGGCTCAGAGTGGCTTGTAGCGGAGCCGAGTGAGATCTGGCTGAGGAGACAGCTCTGCTCCGCTGCTTTTGCTGTGCCTTGGGAAGGCTTGGCTACCCCCTCTGAGCCTCAGCTTCTCCCTGAGTAGAGGGAAAGTGCATCTCAGCTCTGCCTTGGAGAGTGAAATTAGCAACACCGAGCAGGGCTTAGCTTTTCTAGAATTTCAGAAGTCATCTACTGGAAGAGAACTTCAGATGCCTTGTCCTGACTGTGTCATCCAAAGGCATTGAGTGGAGGGTTTTCAGATTCTTAAAGCTCTTTTGAAACCGTCTTAGACTTTTAGAAAACAAATGATCAGGACCAAGATAACCGCAGGAGGCTGTTAGTGACAAAGCCGCCCCACCTGCGTTTGCATTTTGATACTTTCCCACTTCCTCCCTGGAGCCATCACAGGCTGTGAGAAAGCATCACTTGAAAGTAACTGAGGGAATGTGTCATAGACCAGAATTGAGAGGCATTCCAGTGGGGATCCCATTAACAACATCACACTGCTGTCCTCAGTGTGAGGACTCAGTTAAAACATGCAAGGTTCAGAGCTCTGGGCAGTAGCTGCTACTTTCCCTGTTCTTCGTCATCTCCACACCAAATCACTTTCCCACCAGCAACCAGCAAACTACCGCTGTGCCTGTGGCTCCAAGTCCCACCCCCAGGACTAGTTGAGCTCTCCTTTTCTTCCTAATGCCCACATCCCACTTTGACCTTGAGGAACAAGGCTGTTGTGACACCCCTGCCCTTTCCTCCAGGCTCAGGATGGTGGAGACCCTGAGCAACCTGCTGCGTTCCGTGGTGGCCCTGTCGCCTCCAGACCTGCTCCCTGTCCTCTACCTCACTCTCAACCGCCTCGGGCCACCCCAGCAGGGACTGGAACTGGGCGTTGGTGATGGTGTCCTCCTCAAGGCAGTGGCCCAGGCCACAGGTAGGAGGGGCTACTGTGGAGGGACCAACAGGACGGGGTACTTAGAGCTTGGGAGAGAGTTGAAGATGGGTAAAGGTAGAGGAATTAGCCAATGGGAAAGGGTGCCTGACAGGGCTAGATTTGCAGGGGCTAGGGGAGGAACACAGTGGGGCAGCACAGGGAGGGAGGACCAGCCTGTGTTGGGGTAGGAGCTATGAGATGGATAGGAGGGAGAAGGAATGACTGGGGCACGACTGAACTGGAAGGTTTTCATGACTACCTGCTTGTCCATCTCGACAGCCTCTGCTCTTACCTTGGTGTGCTTTTAGTGGGACCCTTTTCTGGACTATAAGTGAAGTCAAGGCACACCCCTTATTTAATTGGTGACTTCAAAAGTAGAGTTAACAGAGGACTGGGGAATGTTAAGAGACCACCGAGCATAGGGTCGGTAGTCCTCTCCGCTTGGTCTGCTTCTCCCATTGGCATCATCCCACCCTGTGGCATCATCCTACCCTGTGGTTTTCAGTCTCATCTACACATGTCCCCCTGAGTCTGGGTGTATTTACCCAACTGCTTACCTGAATGACTCCCTTCTTAGCCTGAGGGAAGGGTTCTTACCCAGAGCTGAAGGGAGCAGATACTCTTGAGCCCTTCTGACCAAATAAGTGCTCTAGAGGAAAGAGAAAGTCTCACAAACTAGATAGCTGGAGAAAATATACCTGGCCAGTGAAGGGAGGCAGGCAGCCAGTTGTCCCCCTCACTACTCCCTGTCTCCCCTGCCAAGGTCGGCAGCTGGAGTCAGTCCGAGCTGAGGCAGCTGAGAAGGGCGACGTGGGGCTGGTGGCAGAGAACAGCCGCAGTACCCAGAGACTCATGCTGCCCCCACCCCCGCTCACCACCTCGGGGGTCTTCTCCAAATTCCGAGACATCGCCAGGCTCACTGGTAGTGCTGTGAGTAGAGCATGGTGGCTCACCCAACACCCAGATGTGCATGTGGTGGGATTGTGCCTTGACAGTTGGGTTGGTCTGTTCATTTGTTGGTGGAGCACACAGAGTTCTTTCCTGTTCTCACACCTGATGTCCTGCTCCTGGGGTCAGGACTCATGCATGCTTGTAGGACAAAGGGAGAGGAGCAAGGAGAGCTGGCTGGTCTTTTCTTGAGAGCAGGAGGGTGGGGATGGTAGGGGAGGAGGGCAGCTTTTCCACAGCAGAAAACTGGTCCCTCCCCTGAGTGCACTGCCTGCCCTCCCCTTCCTCTTGCAGTCCATGGCCAAGAAGATGGACATCATCAAGGGCCTGTTTGTCGCCTGCCGCCACTCAGAAGCCCGGTTCATTGCCAGGTGAGTGTGTCAGCATGAGGCTGGGGAGGCCTACAGGTCTAGCAGGTGGATGTAGGGATTCTCTATGTTACTTTGGCATTACCATAACCAGACTACCTGATATGGGGGAAATGAATATTATAGTCACGGTTAAGAGGATTTGGGCCCAGCATGGTGGGATTCATGGCTGTGGGAGTTTGTGGTAGTTTCTCAACTACACTAGCAGGAAGCAGAAAATAAAGCCAAAACCAGGGCAGATGTAATCTTCTGCTCAGTGACCTGCTTCACCAGCTTGGCCCCGTTTCCTAAAGGCTCCACAGCCTCCCAAAATAGGCACCTCAGCTGCAGACAAATGTTTAAAACATGAGCTCATGGGTAACATTCCAGATCTAAACCACAATAGCTTCCTTTCATGGGCCAACTCCCTACCACTGGTGGTGCTGCCTAGGGAAGGGTCTTAGAGCGCAAGGGTCAGTTATGCTATGATTGATTAATGATATCTGCCCTGGCCTGGGTATAGCACAAATTAGTGTGCTTGTCATGACAATGGAAGGAAAGTCCTTGACCTCTCTTGAAGTATATCTTGAAGCAGTGTTTTAGGTGCTCTGGCCTGTTCCAGCTATTCATGCCAGCAGTTCTCCCAATTGCTCTGTGGTAGACATGGCCATCCTTACTTCAGCTGATAGAACAGAGAGAAGTGTGGGTAGTTCAACTGCCTGCAGCCACTAGCTTAGAGCAAAAACTGTTCTGGGTCAGGTCTTGACTATCACAGAAAGTCATGTTCTGCTCCAACTTTTGCCTGTGTCTCACCCTCCCCAAATACCCTCCTCCTCTGCAAAGTGCTTGCTTCTGTCTCTCAGGATTAAACCATGGACATGACTGCTTGTGGCCAGCCTCAGTTTCCTTATCCTTAAAAGGGATCATTTGGCCTGGAGAGATGGCTCAGCAGTTAAGTGCACTGGCTGCTCTTGCAGAGGACCTGGTTCGATTTTCAGCACCTATGTGGTGGCTAACAACAGCCCATAACTCCAGTTCCAGGAGATCTGACACCAACTTTTGGCCTCTATGTGCACTGCATGACTGGGTGCACTTACATACATGCAGGCAAAATACACATTAAATGAATCAAAAGGGATCATATGATCTCTTGGGTCCCTTCAAGGCTCTGAAGACTGTTCTGGCTATTGAAGAGTACTTCAAAGGATGGAGGCTGGGGAGACTGCAGCAGGCAGGAGCAAAGTGTGGACCGCAAGACTGGAAGGGGCCAGCCAGCCCACCCTGCTGCTCTCTCCCCAGGTCCCTAAGTGGAAAGCTACGCCTTGGGTTGGCTGAACAGTCGGTACTGGCCGCCCTTGCCCAGGCTGTGAGCCTTACACCCCCTGGTCAAGGTGAGCAGCTCTGGCCCATCACTGTGAGTCCCGGGGCTTCCCTCTTCCTCCTGTCCCAGATTCCTCTCCCTCGAGTCTGCTGTTGAGGTACCTACCTCCAGCCTTTCCCTGCCTCATACTACCCACTATGACCCTCGACGCTGGAATGGCTGAGGGGTCATGCTTATCACTAAGCCCCTGGTGGTCTTTCTTTAGAATTTCCCCCACCTGTGGTGGATGTTGGAAAGGGCAAGACAGCAGAGGCCAGAAAGACATGGTTGGAGGAACAAGGCATGATCTTGAAGCAGACCTTCTGGTGAGATGCAGGGTTGGGCAGAGTGGTGGGTGGGAGCCAACATGTGAGTGACTTTCACGGGGCTTTTGACAGAGCAAGGGACTCTGATTTAGACAGGGATGATGCTGGATACAAGGACAGTGGCAGATCAGGAAGGTGGCAGCTATCTGTCAGAGGCAGATACTCGGACAGCGGCTTAGGAGCTCTGGAGTTGTAGCCAAGGCTCTGCAGGACCCAGAAAGGGGGCTGGTGACTGTCTCAAGAGAGATGTTACAGTCACAGAGAGGACTTTCTTGAGTGATGATGAGGGCTTTTCAGTTGGAGGGGCCTTCACCCATGGCTAACCCCAGACCTGTCACAGTGACCATGCCAGAGGCAAGAGGGCCAGTGAGCAGTTACAAATGTTCACAGGGCACCTGCTCTGACCCTGACTGCCCTCATGCTGGGTGCACAGCAGTGAAGAGTCCCTCCCACAGTTTATCGGCCAGGGCAGCAGTTCAGCTCTGCCTCTAGAGACTACGGAGCTCTGCCTAGCCCACTGTACTGTGCCCAGACAGCTAAATAAGTCATTGTGGGTGGAGCCTAGCCCTAAAAAATGAATGTTTGGCCAAAGCCTTAAGTGGGCATCTGTAGCTATGGAGAATCAGTGGTCTCATGGGGAACATGAGAGGGGGGGTGATGGAGGACCCAGGATGAGGGGGGCAGAGTCAGCATAATGTAATGACTGAAAGAGGATGGGGGCATGGTCACAGAGATGAGCAAAGGTGTCAGCAGATCTGTTCATGGGCTGAGGGATATCTCTAGTTGCATTTATTGTCAGACTGTAGAGTTTTCAAGTTATAAGAGTACTGGGCTGAGCATTGTGGTACACACTTGTCATCTCGATATTTGGGAGTCAGAGGCAGGAGTACCTCAAGTTCCAGGCCAACTTGGTGTATGTAGCAAGACTCTGTCTTGGAAAATCAAGGACTGAGGATGTGACTCAGCAATTGAATGCTTGGTTAGAAGGTACTACTGAGGGACTGAGGTTGTGACTCAGTGATAAAGTACTTGCCTATAGTCTACCTCCTAGAATCCATCAGTGCTTGCCTAGATCCATCCTGATCTCAGCTGAAGGTATGTATATATGGCCCAGCAGTAGAGTACTCATCTAGAATCCACCTAGAATCTACCAGTGAGGGGCTTGATGTGTGGAACATTTGCTTTGTGTGCCCAAAGCCCCAGCACTGGGAAAGAATGGCTCTGTTATCTTGCTCTCACCTTCTCCCCAATCCCCTACCTAGTGAGGTGCCCGATCTGGATCGAATTGTCCCTGTGTTGTTGGAACATGGCCTGGAACATCTGCCAGAGCACTGCAAGCTAAGCCCAGGTACAGTTCCCTGTGCCCTTGAAGTTGGGGCAGCTTTCCTTCATGAAGCTGGTGTGAGTGACTGCACCCAGCCAGCCTCTGGGAATCTGTTCCACAAGACTCCTGTTCCTTGCTAAGATAAAGACTCCTTCCTTTCTCCATGAGCTTTCCCTTAAAACTGAACAGGATATGGGCTGGTGCAGCAAAGATTTCCCAGAAGGCAGTAGGTTGACTAGAGACAGAGAATCTCTGTCATGAACATGTGTCCAGAATAAGGCAGGCAGCCATGGAAGGCACACAATTGCTTCCATGGTTCACCCAGGGACCTGGATTGCTTGTCTTGTCCCTCTACCATCCCAAAGTTGTCACTCTGATGCTTGTGCTCAGGGAAAGAGGAGAGGCAATCATGTTCCTTATAAGAGTGTGGCTGCACCTTGCTTGTGTCATTTCTGTGTTTGTTCAGGGCCTTTCTCAGCTGCCAGGGAGGCTGGATTGTGTTCTCAAGTGGTTCTTGTGAAAAGTGGATGGTCTACTCTCCTACATGATGGCAGGAGAAGAGAGTAAGCCCCCACCAATTTGCTTTCTCCCTCCCAGGGGTCCCTCTGAAACCGATGCTGGCCCATCCCACTCGTGGTGTTGGTGAGGTCCTGAAACGCTTTGAGGAGGCAGATTTCACCTGCGAGTACAAATACGACGGACAGCGGGCACAGGTGTGGGCAAGGCACAGCTCTTCTACAGGGAAGTGCTCATCTCACAGGGCCAGGCCCGAGAGCCCGCCTCTGCCACCTCCAGCCTGAGTAACGTGCTTGTCTCTCTGGCCATAGTCTTCCTTCTGTTCTGTGGGTGCAGTAATAATTCTTACCTCCAGCTTATGGCAACATGGGGTTGCCAGAAGCCCTGGCCTGCAGTAGGGTCATCGGGAGAGACTACTGCCTTCCCTGATGCTTGTTAAGTTCACTGTGCATTGAGATGGCCATTCTGGGAGGTGCTTGTGTGACTCTTACTGCGGTGGCAGCCACGTGCCAGGACATCCCTGTCCTGGAATGTGCATAGAAGTGTGTTGTGGCTCTTCTGTCTCAGTGGAATTTGGGACTAGATTGGTGTTCTTCACATGTGGAGGGGTGAATGCACAAGGTGGGTGGTATCTGGGGCTTTGAGGTAACCACAGCAATGTATTTCACACGTATAACCTCATAGATAAGTCTTCAGAACAATACTGAGAACAAAATTATAAAACTATTATAAAAATACTTTTGTACTATTAATAATACCTTTAATCCCAGCACTCAGGAGGCAGAGGCAGGTGGATCTCTGTGAGTTCAAGGCCAGCCTGGTGTATGTAGTTAGTTCCAGGCCCGCTGGGACTACAGGGAGACCCTGTCTCAAACAGAAAAAAAAGTCATAATAAGAATACATGTCAGGGCTGGAGAGATGGCTCAGCGGTTAAGAGCACTGATTGCTCTTGCAGAGGACCCAGGTTCGATTCCCAGCACCCACATGGCAGCTATGAATCGTCCTTAACTCCAGTTCCATGGGAATCCGAAGCCCTCTTCCCTGACCTCCGTGGCATTGCACGACACAGGTGCACTCACATACATGCAGGAAATACATTAATACACATAAAAATAATAAAATTAAACAAAAAAAGAATACATGTCATAATAACATGCATGTAAGGTGGCATACATGTGGCACTGCTCAAGTCCTATGACCAGACAGTATTCAGATGAATAAGCCAACAGTAGAAACCAGAATGGTCCTTGCAACACAGCACATTCAGACGGATCTGTGTCTCACTCAGCAAGGTGCACGAACTTGCAGAAACATAGAGGTGGGGAAATGGGAAGATAAAGACAAAGATGGCAAGCACCAGAGGCAGTGGGTGAAGGTGATTGCCTGGGCCTGATGACCTGAAGTTAATCCCCAGAACCTGCATGGTGGAGAGAGAGAACCAATTCCCTCAGGTTGTCCTCTGACTTCCCCCCATGCACACCATAGCATACATGCACATGTATGTATGGTCTCATGCGCATTAGATAAATAAACACATATTTTTTAAAAAGATGGCGGACACCACACATGACTAATTTCCTTCCCCCATGATGACAGATCCATGTTCTAGAAGGTGGAGAGGTAAAGATCTTCAGCAGGAACCAGGAGGACAACACAGGAAAGTACCCCGACATCATCAGTCGCATCCCTAAGGTGAGCATCTGCCTTTACTGTTGTATGTGTTTCTCCGGACCAGCCTGGCACAGTGAGGTGTCGGTAACAGCTGTGGCCTGAACAGAAGTTAGACCTGTCTCTCCAGTCTGAAGGCAGGTGATCAGAGGCTGGCCTCGGCACTGGCATCCTGTTTCTGATGCCACTATCCTCGGCTGACTGGCTGACTAGCTTTTCAATACTCCCCCACCTCCAGTAGGGCTGTTATACTTTCAGACAGAAACTAAGGGAAAGGAAGTTCTAAGCAGAGTCCCCTGAACATTCTTAATAGGAGCCTAAGTGGAGCTAGAGCCTATCCAGTACAGCTGGAGCCTCGGAAACAGCAGCTCAGATGCAGAACACGGCTGGGACTTGACCTAGGGATTTTTTGTACCCAGGGTGGGCCAGGGCCTCTTTTAGAACCCCCCACTCCCCACCCCGAAGGTTGCTTCTGATTTCCTGCCACTGATCTGTTAGGATACAGGTTCCTTCTTTGAGCAGGAAGCGCAGTGTTCTGAGCCCTGCCTGTTAAGAGGCAGTGAGGACGATGATAATAGTACAGCCAGCGTCATGGAGTTGTTCAATGTGAACCACAATTTTCTTTCTCAGTTTTACTAACATAGTATTGTCATGAAAGGTTTTAAGTATCCAGTCTGCAGTTTGATGACTGCCAACTAGTTTAGACAGACACGTGACCAAACATCCCAATCAGCATATAAAGCCTGTCCTTAATCTCATCACCCAAAATGTTGGCTTGTCCCCCACCTTCACCGCCAGCCATGCCAGCCAGCCCCTCCTCCATCTGTCTGTCAGAGGCAACCTCTGGTTTTACTGTTTCTTGAAAGTGGCATCATGCAGGGCATCATTGTCTGTATCTGACTTCTGCACTCCTTTCAGCAAGTGTTGGGCATCTGCTCTGTGCTGGAGCCTGGGCTGTAGCATAGCCAGGTCTGCTAAGTGCCCTGTTGTCTCTGGCTGTCCGTCTACCAGGAAGTAAACCTTTATTAGGGAGTAGCACTGTGGGTTCGGCCAGACTTGGAGGTTAGAGTTCTGAAGAAAAGGACCAGGATCTGTGACCCTGTATGTGAAACAGACCTGGGGTGTGTTCATCAGTAGAATGCTTGGCTAGATTCCACCAGGACAGCAGTGGAGCACCTGCCTAGACTCTCCCAGTGAGGGGCTGGGGCTGTGGCTCAGTGGTAGAGCACCTACTAGAGGGGCTGGGGATGTGGTTCAGTGGGAGAGCTCTCCTTACCTAATAGAATCCACCAGCGGGGGATTCTAGTGCACTAGCGCAGAGTGCACAGGACCCTTGCTTGGTTCAACCTCTAGCACCAAGGAAGAGGAGATGAAGCTGCAGATTTTATTTGAACGTTGGTGTCAGGGAAACAGGGCTCTGAAACCCTACAGCTCTGGAATGCAGCATGAAAGGCAGCACCTGGCATTGCACCAGTGTTCCACTGAGGGAAAAGAAGGCTTCCCAGGGGAGGCAGACAACAGGAAAGGGGGTTGAGGAAGGCAAGCATTACATAGGGAACAGTATCTGCAAAGGCCTGGTGGTGCAAGATACCTAGCTATTAGACGTACAGAGTAGCTGATGTGCTAAGGTGAAGAGATGAAATCAGGCAAGGAGAGAGAGGACCAGGAGCTGATGAAGAGTTCCCACGGTTCTGGGACGTGGCAGATGGTTTTTATCAGGTGTGTGCAGCAGTTGTATTTAGGGTTTACCCCAGTCACCCTTGGCTACTGTTTGGGGGAGACCAGCAGCTTAGGTGGCTGAGGCAGGGTGTGGTGAGGTGGTGACAGTGTACAGACTCATTCAGAGACCTCAGAGGGGGACGTCCTGGGTTCATGGCAAGTGGAGTGTGGTTCAGAGGAAGGGAAGTGACAGGGGCTGCTGTGTGTCTGGCCTGTGTAACCAAATGACGAATCATCAGGAAAACTGGTGCTGCTTGGTGGTGCCTCAGCAGTTCTGTGTTCCTGTGTCTCTGAGGTCATCCCCAAGAGGAAAAAGGAATTTTTGTCTGCATCCGTTGTTCGACCTTTTCCCCTCACTTTACAGATCAAACTCCCCTCAGTCGCATCTTTCATCCTGGACACTGAAGCTGTGGCCTGGGACCGGGAGAAGAAGCAGATCCAGCCATTCCAAGTGCTCACCACTCGCAAACGCAAGGTACATTACCCTCTCCCTCTGCCACAGCCACACACTGTCACTTTCCTCCGAGGCCTAACTTTGGGTCCTCTGTGGTTCCCCGAAGGACAGAGTATGAGTCTGAATGAGGTAATCTAGCCTTTTGCAAAGTGGTTGCCATCGACTCAGCCATCACGTTCTCATCCCAGAATCTCATGTAGGAAGGATCGAAGGTCCTTTCCTGCATCTCTGTCATTTCACTGTGAAAGGCCTGTTGGAGAAGCCTACAGCCAGTACTCCAGCTGGCTTTCCTTTCATGTCTAATTGGTTAGAATTGTTGCATTTCACTGCCATTAGCTGCAAGGGAGGCAGAGAATGGAATGCAATCAGGATTCCTGAGAGCCATTCTGATCTAGGGCCTGTGCCTGCAGCATTACTGCCTACTCAGCTGTGTGGCCTTAGCTAGGGAGGAGTAATGAATGGTCAGTATCTGCCTAAGGCATGATATGGGCCTTGTGGACCATTTCACCTCACCCCATTCCTGGTCTCCATTCTGTCCCAACCAGGATGTTGATGCATCAGAGATACAAGTGCAGGTGTGTTTATATGCCTTCGACCTCATCTACCTCAACGGAGAGGTGAGTTCCCACTTTGACAGACGACCACCAGGTGATGGGAGTTGAGTGAGCTTGGAGGTGGTTCCCTGGCTTCAGTTGGTGATTATGCTCCATCACTGAACTAGGATACTGTGCTCAGGCCGTCGCTCTCAGAGTGTGGGCTCAGGAAATCAGAGCACCCCAACCCCTTGCATGGGTGTTTGTGAGATGTCTTATTCAGTTTCACATCTGCATGAAGCAGACTTTCTCCCTGTTCTATAACTGGAACAGCATTGCATCTAAGTGACTGTAGATGTAGATGAAAAACTAGCCTCTGTTCAGCCAAAGTAAAGGATCTGTAAAAGTGACTCAGCAGTAAAATACCTGTCTAGAGTTCCCCAGTGAGGGGCTGGGGTGTGGCTCAGTGGTAGAGCCCCTGCCTAGAATCCCCCAGTGAGGGGCTGGGGTGTGGCTCAGTCGTAGAGCCCCTCATGTCAGACTACCTCACTTCCCTTTTCACTTTAAGAAGAGGTAGAAACAGGTAAAAACTTTGTAAGCTTAACAATAAAGCAGACAGAGGCTGGGAGTGTAGCTCAGTGGTAAAGACCTGCCTCGAATCCCCCAGTGAGGGGCTGAGGCGTGGCTCAGTGGTAGAGCCCCTGCCTAGAATCCCCAGTGAGGGGCTGAGGTGTGGCTCAGTGGTAGAGCACCTGCCTAGAATCCCCCAGTGAGGGGCTGGAGGATGGCTCAGTGGTAGAGCCCCTGCCTAGAATCTCCCAGTGAGGGGCTGGGGTGTGGCTCGGTGGTAGAGCCCCTACCTAGAATCTCCCAGTGAGGGGCTGGGGTGTGGCTCGGTGGTAGAGCCCCTGCCTAGAATCCCCCAGTGAGGGGCTGGGGTGTGGCTCAGTGGTAGAGTGCCTGCCTAGCATTTGTGAGGCCCCAGATCCATCTCTACTACCTATGGAAACATTAGAATAGTATAAAGTGTTTTGTGATTGAAAATGGCCACTTTGGAGATAAGAAGCTGGGGATCCTTGTTTCAGGAAGCCTTCTGGTCTGGAGAGGAGAGCTCATTCTCTGATTAGGGCACTGGGCTGAGTGAAGAGACCTTTCTTTGTTTCACTTACGTTCTCTGTCTGGGTGGTGCCATTCAAGGAAAAGGCTTTAAACCATATCCAGATCGAAACAGGGCTGCCCTGGACCATCAGGAAAATCATCAGCCTATATATCCTGGGTGTTGAGCCATTGAGAGCTGGTCTGTTTCCATGAGACTGATGAGTTTGTTTTAGAGAAGTGAGGTGAGCAGAGGCTAGCTTTCCCATTGAGAGATGACATCTTGTTCAGGGCCAGATTTGTTCAGTGCATATAAATTGTGTGTGTATGTGTATCTGTATGTATGTGTTTATATTTTGAGATAGAGTCTTGCAGGATGGCTTTAAGCTTGTGGTCTTGCTTCAGCCTCCCGAGTACTGAGATTTCAGGCATGCTGTACTCTGCCGAGCTTACCCACCAATTTTTCTAAAGGTCCTTAGCATATATGGATTTTGCTACTGCAGGAGTCCCAGAACCCATCCCCAAAGATACTGAGGGACTGCTGCATTGGTGTGGGAATATCCTCCTGGAAGTGTGTATTGAACTCACAGTCTTTATTGCTTCTTTGCCCTTATTGGGCTGGTGTTAAAAATGATAAGAAGTGGTCCAGTGAGGTGATTTAGCTGTAAACACTTGCTGTGTAGACCTGACAACATGTTTGATCCCAAGACCTATGTAACGATGGATAGAGGGAACTAACTCCATAAAGTTATCCTCTAATCTCCACATGTGTGTGTACCATGGCACACCCACACATCTCTCTCTCACTCTCTGTCACACACACATACACACACACACACACACACAAATAAATTAATTAATTAAAAATGACAAGAATTCCATAGAGTGTCTTATCCCAGCTCCCACAGGGTACTGGCTCTCCAGCAGATGCTCCAAGTTCACAGCTCTTAAATGGGGTCTGCCTTTCTTCGATGGCTCACCCTGCAATGGAAGTTCTTACAGTCCTGCTGACAGTGGGTTCTTACCTCCCTAGGCTTTCTGTAATCACATTTTGATGTGTGGCTGTGCCGTCCGGGTCAGGGCTTCGGTCTTTGCTTCCTCAGTGACATCTACATTCTCCTCCCCAGTCCCTGGTCCGACAGCCCCTGTCTCGCCGCCGGCAGCTGCTCCGGGAGAACTTTGTGGAGACAGAGGGTGAGTTTGTCTTCGCCACCTCCCTGGATACCAAGGACACTGAGCAGATTGCTGAGTTCTTGGAGCAGTCAGTGAAAGGTGAGAGCAGCCGCTCTTCTCTCCCTCCCAGGGTCTGAAACCTTGCTATCACTGTTCCCATCCCTGGTCCCCCATGAATTGCCTGGAATCCTACCTGCTCAGGCCTGGTGAGCCATGGCTTCCCTGAGTCAGGCTTCCATGTCTCCTACAGACTCCTGCGAGGGGCTGATGGTGAAGACCCTGGATGTCGACGCCACGTACGAGATTGCCAAGAGGTCACACAACTGGCTCAAGGTGATTCCCTCTTTGGCCTGCCCTTCCTGGTGTCGATCTCTGTCCCCACTGGGCACATAAGTGTCCAGCTTTCCCTTTGAGCCCAGAGTCTCTTTGCACACTCTCACCCCAGTCTGATGTCCTGCCTCTACAAAGCATGGTTACTGACTTTTCCACAGTCCCATTTGAACTGCCAGCAAGCCTTTGGGATGTTAGTTAGGAGACCCAGCCAGGTTTCCACTCCCCGCAACTCGCTTCACTGTTCCACAAGGTATACAAAGGACAGTCCCCTGGGTTGTGTACAAGATGAGGTCTGTTGGTGATGAGTTCACAAAGACAGCTGTCATTTTGCTGTAGTTGGAGTGAAGGCCTGGGAAGGCCTTAGGCAGTCCAGAAAAACCTTCTGGAGGTGACATTTGCATGGAGCTCTGGAGAACCAAAAGGGGTGGGTCATGTGAAGATTGGCAGAGTGCTGGACAGGAGAGCCAAAAGTCCTGCAGTAGAGTGGGCCCCGCATTGTAGGGCACAGAGTGGGTAGGGAGGCTGGAAAGGATCAGGCTGTAGGCCTCACAACACCTTGGACTCTGAGATGAAACTGGGTTTTCTCCTAAAGCTTTCAGGGCCAGCAGGGTGTCATGGGAAGTCACATGGTCATGCTGTCAGTTTGCAGTGGTCCTCTGGCAGCTTTGTAAAGGGTAGACCAGTGTGATGGGCACTGGGGGACCAAGATGATGGATGGAGGCACAGTTGGAAAAAGGGTAGGGAGGAGTTGTTTGGGATCTGGGCTGCTCGGCAGTCCCCAGGTCTCTGATCTGTCTCTCCTGGTTTAGAAACAGCTGAATGTGTATAGACCTTCGTTGTCTTAGGAGGTATGCACTCTCATACCCATAATCTCAAGTGCCTGGCCTGGCACATAGTCAGTGCTTCCTAAATGTTTCTTGAATGGATAAGGGTAAGCAAGCTAATCTTGACCATCTTAAGATTGAGGCAAAGAGGAGTATGAAGATGATGCCCAAGCTGGGCCTGGTGGTGTGTGCCTGTAATCCCACCACCTGGGAGGCTGAGGCAGGAGGGTCCAGAGCTCCAGGTCAGCCTGGGCTACATAGTTTACCCCCTTGCAAAAACAACAAAAAGATTCCCCTCACATGCCCCCAGTCCTCCACCCATCTGCTCTGCTTCAAGTGAGAAACTCATTTACCAGCAGCCTTCCTGTGATCCTTTGTCCTCTTAGAGTTCTCAGCCCCTCCCCAGCCCACAGACAAGCCCCAAGTAGTGAGGCCCCACGTGGCTCCCTCTCACCCCACACTTCCCTCCTCCAGCTGAAGAAGGACTACCTTGATGGTGTCGGCGACACCCTGGACCTTGTTGTAATCGGCGCCTATCTGGGCCGGGGGAAGAGGGCTGGCCGGTACGGGGGCTTCCTGTTGGCCGCCTACGACGAGGAGAGTGAGGAGCTGCAGGCCATATGCAAGGTCTTGGGACTGGGTGCAGAGCACAGAACTGGGGGTGTAGCTACACTCGGGGAAGGGCCCCTGTTTCCTGAGCCAGGGTGCTGTCCTACATATGTAGCCTCTCCAGCTGGGTTTGAATGAGTAACCTGTGTTCACCCACATGATCAAATTGATTAGGCTGGTAATTGGTTTCATGATTTTCCATGTCTCTGGGCACCATTCTATCACCATTTTACAATATTTAGAATGGATTTTTAAAAGCACTGTTGTTAGGACAAAAGGAGATGCGTGGGTGGGTGGGTGGATGGATGGATGAATGGATGGATAGATAGGTAGTTAAGATGGTCAAAACAGGCAGGGCTTTCCAGTTAGAAACTTATATAAGCAGCTTAAAGATGTCTGCCAGTATGAAGTCTTTTTTCCTACCATTTGCCATTTTGGTAGGCACAAGAAACTAGGCAGTGTTAAGTTGGAAGTGACAAAACCTACACATGGCATGACCTTGTAATTTCTGCGACTTGGGAAACAGTCAGATCACAGACTCAATGCCGCCTGGGCAACTTAGTGAGACCCTGTTTTTAAATATAAGGGCTGGAGATGCAGCTCAGCAATAGAATGCGTACCTAGAATTTCCCAGTGAGGGGCTGAGGGCATAGCTCAGCTACAGAGCACCTGCCTAGAATCTCCAGTGAGGGGCTGGGGGCGTGGCTCAGTGGTAGAGCACCTGCCCAGACTTCCAAGGATAGCAAAGGGCAGTTCATGGCTAATGCAGCCAGTCGTCATGGGGAGCTGTCCCCTTCTGGAGACTCTGGTCAAAAGGTCAGCATACCCCTACTTCATCTTAGTCTTCTGGTTTCTGGGGACACCCATTGATATAATGTGGCTTGGGGTCTGTATGCGTGGACACATGTCTGAATGTGACAGGAGCAAGGTTAGGTGTGGGACCAGCTGTTCAGTTGAGCGTCTAACCTGCCATATCCTCCCTGCAGCTTGGAACTGGATTCAGTGATGAGGAGCTGGAAGAACATCACCAGAGCCTGCAGGTGAGCCCTGCGACACCAGGCCTCACCCCTCTGACTACATTCCTATGCAGTGCTCAGCCAACACTGAGAGGGTACTTGGCACAGAAGCCCAGCACATCCAGGTTCAAGTTCTAGGTCTGCCAGCTACTTACTGGTGATGCTGGCCAAGGGGCCTCATGTCCCAGCACAGCACATACACGGTCATGGGATTCTAGGAGTTGCCCCTGAGAAGTTCTGTCTGTGATCCCCTGGCAAAGGAGTACTTTTCTTAGGGGTTACCAGATATTTTGGGTGTGAGGCTCCTTCCTGTGTTGGTATCTCAGTGTCTGGCTCCTGTCTTTGTCCCATTTGGATCTGTGCTGTTGCACAAGTCTATGTTTCAGTTTGTGTGGTATGTGTGTGTGTGTATGTATGTGTGCGTGTGTGTGTGTGCACATGCATGCATGTGTTTCTCTGTGGCTCTCTGCCTCTTTGTGTCTTTAATGTCCCTCTTGTTTCCACCATGTCTCAGTCCCGTGGGGCCTGCCTTCCTTCCTTCCTTCCTTCCTTCCTTCCTTCCTTCCTTCCTTCCTTCCTTCCTTCTAGCTCCAAACAAGCAAAGTCTCCTGCCCTGGCTGTGCTTTTGTTCCTAAATGTGTACTGCTCAGCTGCTGACCTCATCACAGTCTTGAGACTGAAGGAGCAGGATGCAAAGCCAGCACTTGGAAGGGAGGAAGAAGGCACACCTGTGGCTTCCTCCCCCCACTTCCTTCCTTCCTTCTTTCCTTCCTTCCCTCCCTCCCTCCCTCCCTCCCTTTTCCTTTCTCTCCCTGTCCTTTGCTCCCCCTTGTCCAGCTCTTTGACTTGGGGGCTGCCTACTTCTTTGTCCTCTTCCCCCATTTCCCTCCCTCCTTCCTCCATCTGTAACCCCCTTAGCACTGACCCTGACTTTGAGGTTTAAGCTCCTCTCCTTTTCCTCTGCACTGCAGGCCCTGGTGCTGCCCACCCCACGCCCATATGTGCGCATTGATGGAGCCGTGGCCCCTGACCACTGGCTGGACCCAAGTGCTGTGTGGGAGGTGAAGTGCGCTGATCTCTCCCTGTCCCCCATCTACCCCGCTGCACGGGGCCTGGTGAGTACCAGGGACTTCGAAGGAGCTCTGGGAGGAAGACCAGACTTGTGGTAGACCATGGGGCCTTACGTGCCGTTCTATGTGACGATCGAAAACCCAGTGTATTTGGATGTCAAAGAATGAGATTGTAAACTATTTTCTTTAAAAAAAACCACAAAAACTGCACAGCTGTAGAAAGAAGACATTGGTACTGTTCCCTAATTGTCATCTCACCTTCCACTCCAAAGTAACTTGAGAAGGCAGACTTTACATGAAAGCTCAGTTCAGCATCACTGAGCTGTACACTGAGGCAGTCAGTATACAGCATGGTGAGGGGGTGGGGGAGTTGGTGGCGGGGAAGAGCCTGCAGCCTGCACTAGGGGGATGAGTGCAGTCCAGATTTCAAGTGCCCTTCCTCTGAGCTTTCTGCCTATCCTGAAGCCCTGCTAGTGTGTGCTTTCTGGTTAGAAGCAGACTTGTATTTTTAAAAGTGGAACTCCTGGGTTGTTTGTTTTGGTGCTAGACAAGCCTGCTGATCACACCCTCACTTGTCAGGCACTCTGGCTTAGCCACACCTCCAGCCTCTTGGTGGAGCCTAAGCAAATTCACTACTATCATCATCTTTTTTATTTCTCGTTTCCTCTGCTTTTTGTTCTTGTTTGGTTTAGGGGTTTTGTCCTTGCTTATTTTGACACAAGTCCTCATTAAGTAACTCACACAGACCTTGACTCGAGATTCTTCTGCTTCATGCTCCTGAGTAGCTGGGATCACAAGTCTGCTCCAGCATGCATTCTTATCTCATTCTTTTTACCTTTCTAGCTCTTGCTATACTATAGAGAGGCAGGGCCCCTGTCCACACATGCAAAGATCTGGCCTTCAATCCACACTCAGTATGACACAAGTAACATTAGGTTAATAGCTAGCATGTCACCCAAGTAAGCCTCACAAAAATGTCAGGATGTGGTAGCAAGAGCACCTGTTTGTAGGTGAGGAGATAGCAGCATCCCAGAGAGTCAAGGCTCAGCCCCGTGGCTCCTGAGAGCTGGCAGCTGGCCTTGGGGCCCTGACACTGTTCAGCACTTTCATCATCAGGATGGTGACAACATTAAAAGCAGTGATAGCCACTGGTTTTTCCTAAGCATCTTAAATGTACCAGGTACAAAGATTTTGAATATTTTGATACCTGTAGTCCTCACAGCCCATTGCTCAGCTCCATCGAACTGAGACCCAGGTAGAGGAAGGAGGAAGACACTAGATAGGGAAAGGGAATTGTTCAGCCGGCTCGCTGCAGTTGGAGCCCGCACTATCAACCCCTCCCACAGGTGGACAGTGACAAAGGGATCTCCCTTCGCTTCCCTCGGTTCATTCGTGTCCGTGAAGACAAGAAGCCAGAGGAGGCCACCACCAGTGCCCAGGTGAGCCTCTGGGAAGAGGGCTGGGCCTTGGCTAGCACCTCAGAATTGGCTCTGGGCTGGAGCCCTGGAGGTGGGGGCAGCTGGGGAGCTGCTGATACCCCTACCCTTCTCCTCAGGTGGCCTGCCTGTACCGGAAGCAAAGTCAGATTCAGAACCAGCAAAGCTCAGGCTCGGATTCCGACCCTGAAGATTACTAAAGCCCTGATCCCTTGGACCTCGGGCAGCGGGAACATGGATACTGTACGCATGATGGTGTTGTATTTGTGTAGGGCGGGAGGCAGGGGATATACTGGGTCTGGGACTCATATGGTTATTTCCTTCAATAAATAACTTATCAAACACCTCTGTGACAAAGTCCACACTGTACTCTGGGAGCAGAGCTCTGGGAGTTCACACTTGTATAGCACTGGAGCCGGGCCCACTACCCACTTCTCCTCGGTGACAGGTTATGTCTGTTCAGAGCTTGTCCTGGCAGCCTCCAGCCACAATCTGCTGTGGAACACTGAACATATGACCATTGCCACTAAGGAACGGAACATTTTGTTTAATTTTATTTTGAATTTGGGTTTTTTGTTTGTTTCTTTATTATTTTGTTTGTTTTGTATTGACAGGGTCTCCTGTTTTAACCCCAGCCTAACTAGAACTCGCTATGTAGACCAGGCTGACCTTAATCTCACAGAGATCTGTCTGCCTCTGCCTCCTGAGTGTTGGGATTAAAGGTGTATGCCACCATACCCAGCATTTATTTGGATTATTTTTAATCTCAACATTCACATGTGGTCAGGGCTATCCATTTGAAATTCAGCAGTCTAAAGCCTTCATGTGTTAACATCTTTGAGTTCCCAGTACTCTGGACAGGTTGACACAGTTGTGAGGTCTGTGTTGTAGATACAGACAGGGACACAGAAACCGTTAGTAACCTATCAAGTGCCCTAACCAGGGGCATCAGCACCCAGAGCCCCAAGCCAGCAGCCTGGCCCACAGTCTTAGGCCCTTCTAGAAAGGTCCCCATCCTGTTGGGAGTCAGTGTAGTCACAGGTTTGTGTCTTCCAGCTGTGCCATGCCACCCCCACATCTTGTCACCAGACATTACATCAGAACCCTCAGCATAGTGTTCCAGTTGTCATTCCTCAAGATCAGGTGGTGACCATGGCTGTTTGCTATTGGTTGTGCCCTGAGCATGATGCCTAGGGCACAGTAGGTGCTCCAGAGTCCTGACTCGGCATTGGCCTCCACTGGCCTGTGAAGTGAGACCAGGCGCATCACTGCTAGTCCTCCCCAGTGTCCATTCACTTCCCTTTCCCATGTGCTTCAGGACGGAGTCCGATCTTGACTGCAGGTACGGACAGCCCTAGTCAGTCCGTGGCCCCATGCGGTCACGTGAGCCTAGAGAAGACACAGAATTGCAGAACTTTGGTACTCTTGATGGAAAGTTTAGGATGAGGGAAGAATCTTCTAGAAAGGCCTGATTTCCTGAGATGATCCCAGAAAGAACTCGGCCCAGACAGCTTTCTAGGGTCTTTCAACAGCTCTCTGCACACCAGCTGCAGGAGGGATGGACCAGTAGGGTAAACAACAGATGAGAGCCTGGGGCTGCACAGCTGGAGCCACCCTGCTGCCTGCCTCATGTGACAGTGAGTTCCCTGTGAAAGCACAGAGCAGTTGTCCTGTGCTGGGGAGATCGATGGCTGTGAGTGAAGTGTTGGCTGTGCAAAAATGAAGTTCTAAGATAGTTCCCCCAGAACCCAAGTGAAAAAGAACAAGCCAGGCCCAGGGGTGTGTGACCGTAGAGACAGCACACATGCAGGGACGCAGTAGTGACAACAGGATCTCTGGGGCTTGCTGGCCAGAAAGTCTAGTCAAATCACTGAGCTCCAGACCAAGTGAGACCCTGTACTAAAAAGTAAAGCGGAGGGCAATCTAGTATCAACTTCTGGAATCCATGTGTGTACACACGTGCACCCGCACACAGGTGATCATATCCACATGAATATGTATGTCCATATACACCAAAGCAGATTTCATCTGTTGGCTGCAGTTGACATCCTGGTATGAGGGTTAAATATGGTACAGACGAGGGGCTCCTCAGTGTGGCCTCTGGCCAGCAGAATCGTCACAGGAGCTGGCGGATCTTTGCCCTCCTTGTTTCGCCAGTGCAGTGATCTCACCAGGGAGCCCCACTAGGAGGTGATCTACATTTAGCAAGTAGGGATACTGAGGTACTGGGCTCTACTATATGAGAAATGAGGGTGGGAAGAGGGGATGGACAGGACAACGGAATCTTTCTGGGCCGTCTGCCACAGGCTCCATGTCCACAGTCCCTACACCATGAGAGCCTTGTGTGCACCTGTGAGAATGTGAAACCTTCAGGCAGGGACCTGCTGTGGTCTGGTCTGGAAGGGAAGGTATCATGCTGCTGGCTGGAGTATGTGGACACTAAGATGAGCCTGGACTTGGGTGAGCAGTGAATGAGTGCATGATGTGTCTTCCCTGGGAGTGAAAGCCTGTCAAAGCTGTGACAGGCCTGTATAGGTGGAAAGATGAGGCTGTGGGTTCTAGGAATTTGCCAGAGGGCATGGTGGGATGCTTCTGGAGACACAGTTGGAAGCAGCGCTCCCAGTTCAAACAATTACGGTGACTCAATCCCACTCACATGACTACACCATCACAAAGGTTGCTGGGAAGTGTCTCGTACAGTTTCCAAGCAACCCAGTTGTGAATGGAGCTCCCTGCATTTTTCCATATGGACATGAAATGAACCAGACATGGTCTTAAATTTTCTTGTATGACCTCATTCAACTCCCTCCTTGAAACTGTCCTATTGGTACAGTTACTACCTGTGCTTTTCCAGTAAACAAAACCTTATCTCCTGCCTTCATCAGGATACAGTTGCTTGCTACAAACTCTAGCTAGCAGTAGTAGACTGAGGTTTGAACAGTGCTCTCTCCATGCTCAGCTTAAGGTACTTTGTCCACACCCCTCCCAGCATGATAATGATAAAAGTGAGTGAGTTTGCAGCTCCCTGGAAATCTAGTCATGGGGAGGTACGATTTCCTTATCTGGAGCTTGTCCCCCCGCCCCGTGTCCCTTACCTTGGCTTATCATGAAGTGGCAGCTGCCCTGGCATACTGCCCAACCACTTGCCTGCAAATTCGCTGCCATTTTGGCAACAAAATCAAGGCAGTGACTCAGGTCACTGCTAGGGAAACCCAGTGTGGAGTGGGTTAGAAGGTCTTCCCTGGCTCTTTCTCCCAAGCCAGGTAAGATGCTGTCTGAGGGCTGGAATAGGAGCCCTCTGAAGGCAGAAGTTGCTCTATTTGTGTACAGAAGCTGAAGAGTTTACAGCCACGACCTGAAATCAGAACAGAGTGCTTAGCAAGGGAACACACAGCTCCAGAGACAGGAAACACAGTGATGATCGTAGCTGTGTGTGCGAAGCATACCAGTTAGGAACTGATGGTCAGGTGCAGGTAGGTTCAGCTATGAAATGGGCTCCCTAGAGTGACTAGATAGTTGACTGACTTTCAGGTGTGTGATCACTGACATGAGGCTGACCCATTGTCTGGTTGGTTTTTAAGTTAGCCTTGCTATGTAGCCCAGGCTGGCCTCAAACTCCTGATCCTGCCACCTTAGCCTCCCAGGTGCTAGGATGTCAGGCATGTGCCTCTACACTGTCAAATTTTGGCTTTTAGAAGCACAGTCATTGTTGCTAGGCCATCTTCAGCTGAGTTGGGACTGCTTTAGAAGCAGTTCTTTCAAAGCAGTAATTCAATATTATGGCCAAAGTCTAGATTATTTTTCTCTCTGAGAGCAGGAACTTTAAAGTTTTCATCCTATTTTTTATTTGTGTGCAAGTAAGTATGGCATGCATGTGAAGGTCAGGGGTCAATTTGTAGGCATTCATTCTTTCCTTTCACCCTGTGGTTCTGGGGATCATTCTCAGCAAGCACCTCTACCCACTGAACCATCTTGCTGGCCCTTTATTTTATTTGTTTGTGTGTTTTGTGTGCTTGTTTTGGGGGCTTTTTGAAACAAGGTCTCCCTGTAGCCCCAGTTGGACTGGAACTCACTAAGAGCAGGCCGGCCCCTAGCTCCAAAGATCCACCTGCCTCTGCTTCTTTTAATTCTTCTGGGATTAAAGGCATACACCACCACACCCAGCCCTTTATTTTACGTTTATTGGCATATATTCACTGTATATAGTACTGAAACCCATAAAGACATTTTCATACCATTATATAGTGCACTTTGATCATATCTCCCCCATGCCCCTACTCTTCTCTGCCTCCCCCCTCCCTTTTGCCCCCCCTTTGGCTTTCACGTCACATATACATACATGGCTTTATGTCTATATGAAATCCAGGATCCACAAATGAGAAAAAAAGTGATGCTTGTCTTTCTGAGCCTGAATTAATTTGTTTCATATAATCTGCCGTTGTATCCATTTTCCTGTAAATGACATACTTCTGTTCTTCTTTATGACTGAATAAGAGTCCATTGTGCACATTTACCACATTTTCTTTACCCATTCCTCTGTTGATAGACATCTGGGTTGGTTCCATAACTTAGCTGATGTCAGTAGTGCTGCAGTGATCATTGATATGTGAGTATCTCTCAGATGTTCACCCAAAGTTAGCTCTTCAGCTAAATACCCAGGACTGGTACACTTGGATCATGTGGTAGAGCTATATTTAGGTTTGGTTTGGTTTTTTAGGAACTTCCACAGATTTCTGTAGTGACTGGACTAATTGACGTTCCTACTCACAGTGAATAAGTGTTGGCCTCTTCACCAGTTAGAGGTTTCCTTAATGACTGCCATTCTGACTAGGGTGAGGAGGAAACTCAGAGTCGGTAAACATTTTTTTCCATATTTTTGGGCCATTTGTACTTTTAAGAACTGTTCATTTCATTAGTCGATAAAATGGATTGGGTTGTTTGATTTCTTGGTATTTGGGTTTTTAGAGTTCTTTATATATTATTTATATTAATCTTATGTCAGAGGTATAGTTAGTAAAGATTTTCCCTCATTTTACAGGCTGGCTTTTCACTCAATTGTTTCCTTTGGCGTGCAGAGGTTTTAATTTTGCAATCCTAGCCAGGCATGGTGGTGCACATCTTTAATCCCAGTACTCAGGAGGTAGAAACAGGCAGATTTCTGTGAGTTGAAGGCCAGCCTGGTCTGCATAGTGAGTTCTAGGCCAGCTAGAGCTACAGGAAGACTGTCTCAAAAAGACAAAAAAAAAATTTTTTGCAGTCCTACTTGTCAGTATTTGGCATTATTTCCTGAGGTATTGGGGTCCTTTTCAGAAAGTCTTTGCCTAAGCCTATGTTTTGAAGTCTT